TTTTAATAGGGTTGTTTGCTTTTTGGGTGTTGAGGCTTGTGAGTTCTTTATATATTTTGGATGTTAACCCCTTGTTGGATATGTCATTTAATATATTCTCCCATACTGTAGGATGCCTTTTTGTTCTGCTGATGGTGTCCTTTGCTGTACAGAAGCTTTTTAGCTTGATGTAGTCCCATTTGTTCATTTTTGCTTTTGTTTCGCTTGCTCAAGGAGATGCGTTCAGGAAAAAGTTGCTCATGTTTATATTCAAGAGATTTTTGCCTATGTTTTCTAGCCTTGCAGAATTTTAATTTCCTCATCTATACAAGGTAAATGTATTACCTAGCCTACAAAGTGGCTGTTAAAATCAAATAAGACAAAATACCCAACTCAATTTCTCAAAGCCTAACAGCTGCTCACTAAATATTATGATCTTATCCAAAGTCATAACACCAATTGCAGAGCTGGAACTGGAGCCCAGGTATCCTGGCTTTTGATGTGATGCCCTTTCCAAAACTGCACTGTTTCAGGAATTACATTTAAGTTGTTTTAAAACTAAGGTTCATTTCCATTGGTATGCATATGTATTCAAGTAAGCCAACATCAAGGCCTAACCTTTGGTGAATGACTTGACTGCCCATATTTCATTTGTCCCCATCTTTACAAAGTCATTCCATGGCTTACAGTGTGGGTGCATCAGGCTTGCTATTAAATCTTTTTTTTATGTTAATAAATATTTATTCAAAGCTTAATATATGGCAGACATGGTTTTAAGTATCTTACATATATTGACTCATGTTATTCTTTTGCAAAATTATAAGGTAGAGACTACTGTTTTCAAATTTTACAAATGAATAATCATCTATAAAAAACACAGTAAAAAGCTGTGCAACACAGAGAAGACAAGTAGTGATTCTACAACATCCTTCTACGCTGATGGACAGTGACTGTAATGGGGTTTGTGGGGGGGGACTTGGTGAAGGGGAGAGCCTAGTAAACATAATGTTCTTCATGTAATTGTACATCAATGATAACAAAATTTTTAAAAAAGCACAGTTAAAAACAAAAATCATATGGAAACACTGATGAGGATTATAAAGATGTTATCTCAGCATAATGAAAATACAGTATATTAAAACAAATTTGTGAAGCCTAAAAATGAAACATTAAGAACATTTCAATTTGAATCATAAGAAAATAAATTATCATTACTAATTTACATAAAAATTACAGTATTCTATCATTTTTACACAGTGTAATACAAATACAAAATAAGTATTAGAACATGTAACTTGGAATTCAGAAGCAACATTTTCCTTCACAAAAAAATTTCAGGTAAATATCATTTTTTCAATTAGTGTCCAACTCTCTTCCAACCTCAAGTCTATCCATTTATCATTAATTTGTCTTGTCTCCATTTTTTCTAATTGAATTTATCAAATGGTTCCATGTTTGTTGGGGTCCTGTTCTGGTAGTCTTAGTGACACTCATATATTTTAAAATGTGACTCTTTTTAAACTCTTATATCCATTAATGACTCTGTTTATCTTTATTGTTTAATTACCTAATCTTCTTTACAAGCTCATTTTTAAACTTCTTGCCTTGGATTCATTTTTTATTTAATTTTATTTTATTTTAATTTGAAATATTAGTATGTTCTTTTACAAATTTATACTTGATAAACTTAACACTCCTTAAGTGTTTATATTTACAGTCTTCATTTTAACTGCATTCTAAGGGATCTTAATGATATTTAAATTTCATTTTTGATCCACCTGTCAATCATAAGTGTTTTTAATTAAAATTTGTTGCTGGCTTTTAAATTTATTATTTTCAATATTGTTGAAGTAAATATCAGAGAATATTAATTCTGCAACTTACTATTTAGCTATCCTTAGTTTAAAGTATTATACTTGTTATTTTCCTTAATACCAACAAATCCACAAGAAAGGTATTAAATCTCCATCTCATGATAAAGTTAAATGAATTGCCCATAATCATGCAGCCCAAGGTTTCTCAACCTTGGCACTTGATGTTTTCAGCCAGATAGTTCTTTTTTGTGGAGGGATATCCTATGTATTGTAGGATATTTTTGCAGCATGTCTGGTTGTAATAACCAAAAAGGATTCCAGACATTGTCAAATGTTTCCTAGGGTTGGGGTGGGGCGGGGGGTGGCGTACATAATCACTGATATAGCTGGTGCCATTTTTTGATAAATGCTCTTGGTGATTTCAAAGATTTCCTCCTGCTTTAATAGAATCAGCTGTGCTTTTCTACTTAAGGAAGGAAAACAAAATTTTATCTATATGCTCACAACTACATTATCTACTAAAACTTTTACTGTCAGTCAATACATGTATAAATAGATTCAGGAAGAAAAATAAATAAAAGATGATTGTGTCCAGAGCTTTGTTTTTCATAATAAAAGAAACTAGGTGGTCTTTCAATACTCTTGAATCATCCCTGGTCTTAGTACTAAAACGACTTCTCCATTTTTTTTCATATTCTTCCCTCAAATACATTCCATAATTTCCTCTTATCTAACGTCTCATCTTCGTATTTAATTTTGGGCTGTCTCTTGCAGCAAAATAATATTTAGCATTGCTTTCTTGTTTATTATACTTGTGCTTTTCCTTTGCTGTGATTTATTTTGTCTTTCTTCCTACCTGCTAACTTCTCTAATAAACATCTCACGATTCATAGTTCAGCCACTACAACTAGTTCATCTGTGTCCCATCTCAGCAGCCTTCCCCCTGGGATCCAGCCAGAATCGAGGAATAATTTTCTAATTTGTAGAGACCACTGTTCTGAGGTAAGCAGTCCGTGAATAGGATTAGGTGGCTGTGATCCTGATCTCTCTCTCCAGACTGAGGCATAGGCATTCTCTCTGTCTGCAGAATGAAATCCCTGCTCTCCATAGCCACTAGTAGCCTCAGTCATTCCTTGACTTGTAGATGGTCATTTCCCTGTGTTTTCACACATGACCTCTGCTCTGTGCTTGTCTGTCTTTGCTATTAAATCTTTATATTAAAGCAAATCTCTGTGATAATCTCTTTTTGGCCTCTATTCTCTGGAGGATATAGCTAGGTCAATTTCAAAGTTAATCTTTTACAATTAGCATTATGTTCATATATGAAGTGCAGCACATTACAGATCATTATATCAAAGATAATTTGTAAATCTCAAACAAGTAATTAAGGGAGATCATAAGAGGAAAAGCTTAAGTAGAACTCACCTTCATATTTAGTACACCCTCCCACCTCCACCATAATAACAACAAAAAAAAGGATTGCTCTGCTCTGCAAGCTACCATTTAGCTAAAAAAACAATTTCATTTAATTCTTGTAACAATCCCATCAGGTAAGTATTATTTTTTCACCTAAGTGATCATTTCCATTTTACAAGAAATTGGAGGCTTAAAATCAATAATCCACTTAGTCCAAGTCACTAAATGAAACATACATTCGAATGTTCAGTGACAAAGCTAAGCTCTGAAGCCAGACTTGAGCAATTCCAAAATTCACATTTTTCTGTCACTGTAGTCTTTGTCGGCCTGATAAGGTGGGTGCTTTTCCCTCCTCACAGGCATTCTATTGGCATGTTGGCACTGTAGTCTGGGCAGTCCCGGGGGTTCATCTCTGACCCAGCACCTCCTGGCTGGACCACAGTAAGCCTACACCTGGGACCAGTCGGGCCGTCCACCAATTATTTTACGCACAATCTTACATTCCCAGCCACCTAGGGGACTGTCCAGAAGGCGGAGCCAGTATTTGCTGAAGTGAGAAGGGGTCTGCCCATCTCAGCAAGGTTCCTCTGGCCCTACCTGGTAGAGAAGAAAGGGTATGTTGTGTCTCAAATAGCTGACGCCTATTGGCAATGACATGGAACAGCCCTCCCCCCGACTAAGTAGTTTCAACATTAGGCATTGATTTGGGGAGGCAGAACACGATGGTATCTTGGAGGCAGAAATCCCTCTAAGCTCCACAATGACAGGATGCGTCAGACCAATTCTAAATGCTTTATATGCACTAACTCATGTAATCTGCAGAGTTATTCAGTGAGGTAGCTACTACTTCATCCATTTAACAAGTGAGGAAATACAAACAGTAACTTCTAACTTGCCTAGGGACAATAGCTGGTAAGTACTGACTATTCAAAAATAGGGATACAAATACCTTCCCTACAGGTACACAATGCAAGGTGTTTTGTGGGCCAACAACTCCTGTGCATTGACAGTAAACTGGTATTTCTTGATCTGGAGCCATTACAGTTTTCCCCTTCCACTTTTTTGTATATTGGAAATATTTTTTTTTTTTGTATATATGGAAATATTTCTGCACCCACATCACCTACACTACACTGGAAAAAAAATTAGGTAAGTATATATAAAAATACATATATATACTTACTTACCTGATTTTTATCAAGAAATGTATATACTTACCTTATTTTTTTTCCAGTGTAGTGTAAGTGATGTGGGTGCAGAAAGTTCCTGAAAAGATCCAAATGAAATTGGTAAACACGTGGTGTCTCTAGGCAGGGAAACACCTGCTAGGGGACAGGGTGGAAAATCTACTTTTCACTGTACTGAAAATCAAGATGTTTAAAATTAAAATGTTTAAAGGTCTGAGCAGTCATAGATGGATCTGGCTGGGGTTTCTGCTTCAAAGGACTCCCAGGCCTGAGGGCGCCCAGTAGCGGGGTGGTTTGCCCAGGCTCACCAACGAGCCCCAGCGAGGTCGGAGTCCTTTCCCTGAGCGCGCCAAGGTGGGCATCTTTTAAAGCGCAAGGAGGGAGGAAGCGAAAACACTCACTGGCGCTGTGCCCACCTTGCCTAGTCCCGGGCTGGGCGCGGCCTTAGCCGTCGCGGTGCTCCCCGGCTTTGCAGGGCTGGGGCTCGGCCGCGCGGGAGGCCCCGCCCGGGCCGCAGGAGGAAAAGGCCGGCCCTTGTCTCGCCCCGCCCCGCCCCGCCAAATTTAAGAGCCCTCGCCGACAGCTGGGGCCGGTGCGGGCCAACAAAGTCTCCCTCCCTCCAGTGGGCTGTTTCATTCGCCTTTTGCGCTCCCCACCACAGCTCCAGAGGCCCCGACTCCCCTCTCCACGCCCGTCCGGGCAAGGGCCGCTCCATGCCCAGCACGGGGCCGCGAGGCCGCCGGCCGCCCGCTCTCTCGAGCGCTTCGGTCCAGCCCCCAAGCTCAGGACGCTCTCCGGCGCCCGCGTCCCCGCGCCGCTCCGCCGACCCCGGCACACCCCGCGCTCCCAGACGCCTCGAGTCCTCGTTCTCCGTCGAGGCTATCCTAGCCAGGCCCGCCCGCCGCGCGCCCACCGCCTCCCCGGGGCCCGTCTCCGTCAGCGCCGCCCCGGGCCTCTGGACCGCTCCCTCCCGGTTTCCGGCCCCGGTGCTGCCCTGGGCACTCCCGGCGACGTGGCTGCCAGCCTACCTGAGCCCTCCTGTGTCTGGGCTCCGCGTGGCCCACTTCTGCGGCCTCCAGCGCTTCGGCGTCCCAGGTACGAGGTGCCCTCGCGCCCGCGACCCGGGAAATGGGCGGGGCGGCTGTGCTCAGTCTGGAGAAGTCCCTGAGTTTGAGAACCACTTGTGGTTTGAGTGGGGGGGGGGGCAACTATGACCCTTGACCTTGCCATTGAAATTGAGGCAGAGAGCCCAGCTGCGACAGTATGTCACACCCCAGTATGAGGCTGGGAGAGATGTGTGTGAGGGCAGGTTCCGGGCAGGAATGCCGGTGGGCCAGGGGCTCGGAAGACTGACAAGGCCAGCTCTGGGACTGCTCAGGAGGAGCCCTGCTCTCGGCCTGCATGTCCCCCGATGAGGGGTTTATAGAGTCTCTTGCTTGCCTCCCACACCCCCTTGGATAGGAGCTGGCGAATGCCTAGACCCCAATACCGCCCCTATTGTTCACGTCTGTGAGAGCTTAGGCTCCACATTTAAAGTCTCCCAGCCTGCTTGCTTAAGCCTTCTTAGAAGGATGCCTTCAGGCTCTGGGGCACAGGCACTTAAATCCCAAAGAGAATTGTACTGTTGATGTACTGTGGAGGTAACTTTCTCCTCCTGCATTAACATCCACTTATACAGGCTTTTGCGAGTTGGCAGTCTGGTTCATGTTTCCCCACTCCCTACGAGGGAAACAGAAGCAAAGTTAGTGCAAGCTTTATCAACCCACACCAACATCGTTGTAATACAGTGTAACCTGGTTCCTACTCCCTCCAGCCTGCGTTTCCACAGACCCTTTCAGCTGTGCATTCCCCCACCCTCTCCCCATTGGAGAGAAACCCTAGGCTCCCAATTCCATCCATATTGGTGACACTCATCCAGGAGCCACTCCCATCACTTGAAGCCACCTTTTTCTCACCTCCCTACACAACTGAGGTCTGAATTGTAGTTTGCTACTTAATATTATTGTCTCATTTTCAGGTTAGTTTTTGCATATGTATTACATTCACACAGTTCAAACTGTTTACTAAGATACATGGAAAATAGTTTCCTTTAACAGTCCAGTCCCGGAGTTGCCTGCTTACTCCCACCCCACAAGTAGCCAATGACAACATTTTTTATTCTTTCAGAGGTATTTTATGCATCTTTAGTATCTAAATACCCACATATGTACATGTGCGTGTGTGTACATATGTATATACGCACATGCACATATACATTTACGTTTCTCCTCACACTCCATCACTCCCACTAGACACACTGCACTGCACCTTACTCTTTTCACTTGCCCATATCTTGGAGATTTTTCATTATCAACCCACACAGAGCTTCTTTACGCTATGGAGTGTCTCATTGTTGTATACAATCAGGCCCCATTGATTTTTCTCATTGTTTGCTATTAAGCTTATGCTTCTGGTAAGCCTGGTGGGCCCATTGGTTGGGCAGCCAGGGTCCTGGCCTCTCTCCCTTCACTGGGGCATTTTGTCTGCCACCCCTCCCCAAAGCTAGTGGGAACTAAGGAGTCTTAGCACTGCACTTGCCATTCCTCCACGTATAATAGTGCCCTCCAAGACAGCCCAGTGGGTCACTTCCTCATTCCTTTCAAGTTCTGACTCAGGTACTGTCCCCTGGTAGACAAACCTCCATCTCCACTGGTCCACACCTCAAGGGGATGAATGGCACTTTTTTTTTTCGCATTAGAAAAGGGCACCCCTTCCTTCATGAGACACAACACCTTGATGTGGGCAAGAATTGGCCTTTGGAAAGTGGGCAAAATTTCAGACTCCATTTACCTTCTCAGCTGAGTACCTGTGTGCAGGGCACAAGATGTACAGAGTGGCCCTGTTCAAGTGTTACCTCAATATGGTGGCTTCCCTTCCTAAGGATACAAACTGTCCCCCACACATACTCTCATCCTCTTTCTCTATTCTTCTCACTAGTGCACATCACTTACTCACATACTCAGTATTTTACTTATTTACCTTTCTTAATGTTTTACAGGGATTACTGTTTTGTCCTGGAACCATGCCTGATGCATAGTAAACATTCAATAAGTATTTGTTGAATGAACAAAGAGGGCAAACCCTTGGAGGTCCCTTCTCTGGGGGACTTTCATGGGTTTCCTACTTTCATGGGGTTCCTGAAGTAGCAAGGAAAGAAGCAGAGAGCAAGGAGAGATGGAGGTTTGGCAATTCCTCTTAGGCTCAGAGGTTAAGTGACTCTGCTGGAGAAAAGTGCAGGCAGTGGATCCTCACAGAATTGTCCCTTCTTTCTCATGTTTGTTTTCTATTATTTCTGCATAGTCTCTTCCCAGTCAGCCTTCTTGCTGTGTTATTTGGCCAAGGGCACGGCAGGGCAGTGGAGCTGCGCCTGTCTCCACTCTCCTCCAAGGCAGGTGGGAAGGTGGGTGCTGACTAACCTCCCCTCCTGTTGGTTTCTCTTAGGTGTGGAGCTGGCTCACCACTCAGGCCTCTGGGGTCCCCTGGACTGGGCTCCAGCCAAGGACCTTCAGGATACTGAGAGACCCCAAAAGAGGGTTCGAACTATGTTTAATTTGGAGCAGCTAGAAGAGTTGGAGAAAGCGTTTGCACAACAGCACAATCTAGTGGGGAAAAAGAGAGCCCAGCTGGCAGCACAGCTCAACCTGACAGAGAACCAGGTGGGAGCAGGGGCTGCACCTGTGGGCTGACACTAGTCTCCAGGAGGCCCTGGGTTGTGGCTGGGGGACACACAGGCCTTCACCCTCTGCACCAGGCCACTGCGGGAAACAGGCCCTCCTCATTGGCACACTTCTTATGAATGAGAAAAATAGTCCCATTTGAAATCACATTATGGGAACAGCACATGATTGTTAACATAGATATTAATCCAGAATTTTCCATTTGCATGTTAATAAGGAGCTGACAGTGAAATTAAGTAGGTTTTCAAGGGACTAAATATTTTTTTAAATTATTAACATTCCCTTGACCACCATTTCCCCCTCCAGCTACTGCACCATTCTTCTGCTCTTTTCATGAACCAACTTCTCAACAACTTGGTATGTTCATTCTCTCCCTGTACTCCCTTCCCATCTACTCCTTAACTCATTCCAGTGTGAATTCTTCTTTCTGCCATTCCATGGAAACTTCTCATCAAAGTCTCTAAGAATCTCCGTGTTGCCAAAGTCAGCAGATGCTTTCCTCATCTTACTCCACCAGTCAGCAGAGTTGACTGCTCCTTCTGTTGAAACATACAAACATACTCTTCCCTTGGCTTCCAGACACCACACTCTCTTAGTTTTCCTCCCAGCTCTCTGATTACTTCTTCTCTGTCACCCTTATAAAGTATATAGCTTGCGACCTTCTCTTTATGACCCCAAATTTTTCTCCCCTGCTGATCTCATTTCTTCCCATGGTTTAAAATACCACCTATAAGCCAACAACTCCCAAAGTTGTATCTGAGCCCACCTCTCTCTTCTGACTTGCACATCTTAACTACCTTCTTGAGGTCTCCACTGGGATGTCTTGTAGGTAGGCATTTCAAACTTAACAAGTCTAAACTTCAGTTCTTGCCTTTCTTTCCTTCCTTTCTCCATTTATGACCCCACCATCCACCCAGTTGCTCAGAATACCAAGTCATCCTAGATTCTGCCTTCTTTCCCACATCAGCAAGCCATGTCACCTCTACCTCCAAACAACAGCTGGAATCACTTCATTTCTCTCCATTGCCCCACTCCATACCAGCCCCAGCTCTCACTGGATAATTTCAATAGCTTCCCTGCTATCTCCTGGCATCTGCTTTCATCCATTCTTTACACAGCAGCCAGATGTGCAATTCACTTGAGATGCAAATAGGATGTCACATCCCACTTGAAAGTCTCAAAGTTCACATTCCTTACCTATGGTCTTCATTTTATTTTCCTGGATGATCTGGCCCCCGCTGGCCTCTCCCACTTTCCCTTCCTTTGCTTCCCCTTCTCACTTTCAGATATTTCAGCCACATTCTCCTCCTTTCTGGTCCTCAAACACTCCAAGCTTATTTCTATCTTAGAGCCTTCCTATAGGTTGTCCCCTGCCCAGGCCTGCTTTTCTCTGACCCCATTAGGCTGGCTTCTCATCTGAGCTTCAGCTTAAGTGCTGGTTCCTCAGAGAGACTCAAGCCCCTGTTCATATCCCCATTCATGTTGATGAATTTGTTAATTTCCATGTTTGTTATTTGTCTCTCTCCATTAGACTGTGAGCTTCATGAGAATAGGGAACTCTGTTGCTCACAGCTGTATCACGATCACCTAGGATGGTGCCTAGTACATAATAGGAGTGCAGTCAATACTTGTTGGGTGAATGAATGGTGACTGAAATTATACGGAAGGGTGTTTTGGAAGGGGTATTTCCCTTAGAAGGAAGAATAAGTTTTGGGCAGAGAGGAGTGGGCACTGGGAAGAGGGGAAGCAGCAGGAACTGTTGGTCAAATTCTGATCTCTGCCCACTGCCTCCAATTATAGGTGAGGGTCTGGTTCCAAAACCGCAGGGTCAAGTATCAGAAGCAGCAAAGGCTGAAACTGCCAGCCACGTCTGCCATGGCTGCCTCTCTGGACGAGCCCTCCAGCAGCTCTGATACCAGCATCCAGAGAGAAGATGCTGATTCGGGAGTGGACAGCTGAGGACTGGGACAGAGGTTCAACCCAGGCTCTCTGGGCTGTTTTTTCTGCGACACCCAGTGGACTCTCCTGGCCCATATTTTGATGAAGAGTCTCATTAGGGTCAAAGGGCACTAGGGGAATCTGTACTATCAATCAGTGGCCTCCTTTATCTATATTGGCCCTGGAAAATTGGAATAAGAATGGTCAGCGGCACAGATTTTGGCCATCAGCTATGTGCTTGGCCAAGTTACTGAACTTCTGAGCCTTTTTTCTTCATCTATATAATAGGTGTGTTGGTAACTTAAACCTCCCAGGGCTGAGATGATGTCTGTAAAGCACTTACATTATGCCAGGCCCAGTGCTAAATGTTTGGTAACTGTTAAGGCTCATAGGCCCCCTTTACCTGGGGGCATTGTGCTTGCACCAGCCCTGGCTTCTCTAAGGATTAATCTTTCCCTGGCCTGGCTGTAAAGGGCCTCGTTGAATCAGTGTCTGGGCCTAGAAGACCCTTCCCTGCCAGAGATGGTGGAATTTAAAGCAAAGAGAAGGGAAAGGTAAACTGTTTAGCCCACTTTCCCTCACAGAGTTTTCCAAAGTTTTGCTTTGTCTGAACTGTTAACCACTTTCACAAGTTGCTGAGGCACAGCTGCCTCCTTGGAGCAGACATGCTACCTTGACCACCGTCTTTTTCCCTCTAGCTATCCACCTTGACCCCTTCTCCATCTCTATATAGAACAGAGAAATTTGACTCTGCCTTTGCCAAGGCAGGCATTTTGTCAGAAATTCTTCTGTATTTTCATGAGTCAGTTCGTAACTGTCTCATGGTTCCTTTTACTTCTTAGGGATATGTGCAGTTTCCCTTAAGCCTAATAGATAGCCTACCCTTGTGAAGCCTGCCACCAGCATTTCTAGAGATGATTTCTCTAGTGCTTGGCCTTCCTGGGCAGGCCTCTATTGAGAATATTGATTTACAATCTAGCGTGGCTCCGGGTGCTCAGGTGAGCCAGGAAGGACTGCCCTGCCACCTGGTGGTAAAAGAAGGCACGGCCCCTACTGCTCTATACAGAGTTTTCTGAGGGAGAAAGGAAAGGCTGGGAGCAGAGGTGGCCTTGGAAAACCACCTGTCCCTAAGGCAGCGGACCACTCTCCCTGACACCAGGCCACAGGCTTGAAGGAGGCCAGGGTCCAACTTCAAGAACCCTTCTCTATTCCTGTCTTCAGAGAAATCCTTCCTCATGCTGGCTCCAAAGTCAACTCAGTCAGAAGAACCCAGATACATCTATCTACCTCTTCAGATGGCTTACTTTATTATTATTATTTTTAATCAACAGTTACCTATTCAGCAGTTATGGGGCTCTACCCAATCCCCAAATGTCATTATAATGAGACAACAGCAGAAGCAGACACAGATCTCTTTTCAAAAAATCAATTAGGGGACAAAGAAACAAGGCATGGTGGTCAGATTGGCTGTGGGAACAGATGATATACATCAGTGGTTTGCAGCTTTTGGGGGTTCTGAATTAAGAAAGCAGGTCTCTCTCCTGCTGTCAGGAAAATGTGTGTATGCACTCACTACTGCACACAATTTCAGGGGTCTTCATACCTGAGGTCCACTATAGACTCCCCCTCCACCACTCCCAGGCTGCAAGGTCTCTAAGCCCCTTAAGATCTGAGAGAGGCGAAGTCCAGCTTGAGCTTTTGTAGGGCCGTCTGCCCCGCTGCCAGAGAGCCCACGGAAAAGAGAAATCATGCGCAGGGCTCTGTAAGCTAATTGGAAAGAGAAGCTCGTCTTTCCTCTCAGGTTGAGGGTCAAAAAGGATGGTAGGTAGTCGGCCCGCTACTACTGTCCCACCGCTCGGCTCGGTCCAAAAGTGCTTGACGCAAGACGGCCCACTGGGTGGGCAGAAACGACACAAACATGAACTCGGACAGGTAACACATCAAAACTCTACACATACACAGCCTCTGATACAGAGGTTAACATATCGGCCACGCAGACACAAAACTACACAGACGTGAAAACACAAAGGCACGCCTAGCGACCAACCGACCTAACCCCGCAGGTAAAAGGGAACCAATCTCGGTCTCGCCAGCGCGCAAACCCTCCCAGGCTTGTACACGTACGTCGGGAAGGGGTGGGCCTCCCGGGTCGAGGCGAGGTCAAGGGTCAGAAGGCGGAGGCGCGCCCAAGATGGCGGCCTCCGTCTGCGACGTGTACGCCTTTTGCGTGGGCGTGGCGGGCCCGGCCCGGGTCGCCGTGGAAGTCCGTTACGTGAGCAGTGCTAAGGTGAGGCCTGGGCGGACCCGCCGGGAGCCCCCACCGCGTCCGGCCTTGGAAACAGCCCCACAGGACCCCAGGCATGGAGCCTACAGGCTCCTCTGCTGCTCGGATCCCGCCGCCCGGACTCTGCTCGCGGCCTGGCGGTTCCCTGTCCCCGCGCGCAGAATTCCGGGGCGGTCACGCGGTGGACCGGGGCCTCCGAAGTCTCCGTGAGCGCCCCCTCCCCGCGAGCCCGGCGTGCCAGCCAGCGGCCCAGCTACTGTCGCTCCAGGAGGGCCTTGAGGGCGCCGGGCCTTTTGGGCCGGGCAGGGGGACATTGCTTCTGGGCCCCGGGGACGGTGGAGGGGAATCTCTGAGCAGAGAGAACTGAGGTACAAAAAAAACGTGGGTCTTCAGGGAACTCTCTGAGTGAGATTTGGGGGGTTGAGTGAGGAGAGAGGCTAGTACATTTCATGAAGAGCCTTGGAGTGCTTAGGAATTTGGACCAGAACCTGACGCCCGCGGGAGCATTTGAAGAGTTTAAACGGGAGTGACATGATTTTGTCGTTTTTGTGTTTTTAAAGTTCATTGTAGAAAAAAATTGCAAATGCGTGTAGGGAAAGAGAAGGTGAAAATCACTCCTAATCCTATACTTGTCTGAATATGTGTATACTAAAAATTACGTTTTTAGAAACTGCTTTTGGATGCAGCAAATCCTTCAACGTCAGTAACCTATGTCTACATATTAGTTTTTGAGAGCTGAGTAATAGTCATGGGAGTACCACAGCTCACTCCACCAACTACTTGTTTTTTAACTCTTTTATGTTGTATCTTTTTTTCGTTCCTGAGGTCAAAGGTCTTGGAGCTTAATTTGTGTGCACACATCTTTTTGTTCTTTCCAGCACTATTTTCTTTCCTAGTTGTCTTTGCCAGTTGATCTGTGCAAAATGGTGTCCCTTTGTTTTCATTTACATTTCTTTGTTTACTGGTGAGGTTGAATGACTTACCTGTGTAGTGGCTGTTAGTCCTTACCCAGGATGTCATACTCATGTGTGTCCTCTTCTCAGCATCTTCGTATTGATCTAGGTTCCCATCCCACTTTCCATTACCCTTTTTCCATTTCAGAGGCATCTGGAGCATTGCTCACTTCCTGTGGTAAATCAGCTCCCCTACATTTGTGGCCTCCTCAGCTGCTCACATCTCCATCTCTGTCCCAGGGCCACTAGTGTTCTTGATTAACCCACAGTTTGATGGTGTCTCAGTTTCATCACCCCTAGCCTGCAGGGATACTCACCTTTACCTTCTCTTAGCCCTCTCTCTCTCAGCCCCTTACTTTTTTTCACTTCCTGCCTCTCATTTCATTACCTCAGCCACTCTCCTTGCCCAGTTATCCCGTCCCAGCCTTCTATCAAAACCTCAGCTCTGGAAGAATGAGCTGGCTGCCCCTTCCATACCTACAACTGATCTGCTGCTGGAGAAAATCACATACTCATCCAGACGTGGTGACAAGATTCCGAGCCTTTTGCATCTGTATTCATCAAGTGAAATTGATTTCTGATATTTTTTTCTTTGTGCTAGCTTATGCTTATTTTTGGTAAAATAGAGCAGCTTTCCATTTTTTTCTCTGTTACTGGATAGTTTAAATAGCATAAGAATAATTTTTTTGGTTTGAGAAAACTAGCCCAAAAACAGTAGGGGCCTTGTGTGGGGTACCAACTATTATACCAGGGACATGACCAATCAGAAGAGAAACCTGACCAAAGATGGTGGATACCAGCCAGCATGCATTACTGTTGCAGATCAGGCAGGTATCAGCAGAGATTAGTCTGTCTAGACTTTATTCCTGTTAGATTCAGTTTTGGTCATTTGTATTTTTCTGGAAAACGATCCATTTAATAAAGATGTTTAAATTTCCTACATAGTCTTAATGTTTTGTATAGTCTGTTTCAAAAACATTTTTCAAGTCAGAAATACCTTTGCATAGTTTGTGCTCTTCCATTCAGGTTCAGTTCTCCCCAAGCTTCTTGAAACGTGAATTAGAGCTGTTTTTCTTGAAATACTGTCATAAGTTTTGGGGATGAGTGTTTTCATAGAGAACGGCCTTTGTTTTGGCTATTAGAACAGCTACTGTTTCTGCAGTTGGGTACTTCAAAAAGAGGGAAAAAGAAATGTATATTTACTCAATACTGGGATTTCAGATTTAGAGAGAATGAGGGTGCATGTTGATATCTTTTTATCCCATAGAGGAAGGCCAGGTTTTCATTTTGCTAGATTGGGTTTCAGGGGCTATGAGGCATGAAGGTGGGGCTTTCAGGAAGACACCTTGGGTGCATCCATGGCGTCACCCCGTGGTTTTGTTCCAGCTGTTCCTCTCTGCTGTTAGAGCTCCCAGAGGATTGAGCTTTGTGGCTCATGGGTTGCTTAGGGCCTGTCCTGGTCTACACATCTGCTGCTCTGACTTTGGGAGATGCCCCTGTCTAGCCAGAGCATTGATGCTAGAAGAACCAGAGAGCTACCTGGGAGGCCACATGACAAGACATTTTACTGCTGGGGCAATCTTTTTTTTTTCCTTCCCTTTTTGTGACAGTTCAGTGTTGGCAGAGGCATGACTCCTTTATGCAGACAGTGGATGTAAGTGCCTGGCAGGGTCAGTAACTCCATAGGTTTGAAGCTGTCTCCTGAGCCCTTTGCACATTTGACAGATGGAAATTCAACAATTGTTTTCTCATCCTCCATGCCTTACATGATGTATACAGTGCTTTAGACCAGTGTTTCTCAAACTTTAATGTTCCTCTGGACATCTTGTTAAAATGCAGATTCTGATTCAGCAGGTCTGGGGTGGGGCCTAAGAGTTTGCATTTCTAATAGTCTCCCAGGTGATGCCCATGCTGCCAGTCCATCACCTGACTTTGAATAGTAAGGAGCTAGTGCCCATGAGGTACATTGATCCGTGCTATATCCTTGCATCCTGGAAACTACCTGGTAGGTATTACCATAATATTTTCATATCAGAAACAGATGCAAAGAAGTGAAGCTATTGGCTCAAAGGTTTACAACTTTGAGGTGCTAGGTTTAGTCATTCCTTTCATGTGACAACTCAGAATGTGTTGAGTACTAGGTACAGTGACTACCGAGCTGACCAGGGAAATAGGGCATATTCTCCCGCAAACTTGGCCTCCCTCTCTTGTGGTGTTGGATTTCTCTGCAATCCTGAGCAGCGTCACTGCCAAGATCCTGAAGGGGCACATAGGTAACTCAGAGAAAGCTTCCCTGTTGTTACCAGCTCCTGGTGCAGGACCTGCAGCCTGTTGTGAGCCTGGGTCCTGCTCTATCCTTTCTAAGATTTCTCCTCCCCTGAGTACAGTGGGATGGCTGATGTGGTGGCCCCCTCCCCATCCCAGGCCCTCTGCTCTGAACAGGCTGAAAAAGGTGCAGCTGAAAGTAGGTCAGAGCCACATTTCCAGAGGAGGCAGTTATGGAGGACACTGACCATGAACCCTCCTGAGGCAAAGGCCTCTGCTGAGAAGGAGGCTTGTGGGGGTGAGGCTGGGAGGCCCTTCAGGGACCCATAGAGCTACGTCTCCTTTTTCTTCTTAAGACCACCCTGTTTCTTCTCTGCCCTTTTAGGGAAAAGGGCTGTTCGCCACACAGCTAATCCGGAAAGGAGAGACCGTCTTCGTAGAACAGCCCCTGGTGGCTGCACAGTTTCTCTGGAATGCACTTTATCGCTATCGAGGTGAGCACATTTTGCTCACTTCTGGCTGCTGGGCCCAGCTGCCTTTGTGCAAGGAAGAGAGCTACAACACACATCCCTACTGGCTGGTGTCTCTGGGACTCCGGGTGTTGGGAGGAAAGGCTATCTTCCCTTGGAGAACTGTGCCAGAGAGCCATACCTCTGTCTAGTCTCTGGCAATTTGGGGCTGTGAGTCTGCAGTCAAGAGGCTCTTCCCAAGTGCTCCCTGGGGAGGATGTCACTCAGGTGGAACTCGGTCTGGCCAGAGTTTAAGGGACTGGAAGTCATGCTGAAAGGCTATGCCAAAGTGCAGCCCTCCACCAAGAAGAGGCCTCATGTCCCTTGGTCAGAAAGGCTGAATTAGAGGTCAGAAGCAAGTAGGAAGCCCTTAGCTTTGCCAACCACATGCTTTTTTCACACTCTTCTTAGGCTAAAGAAGACAAACTGAACAGAGGGTCAGTTGGCTGCAGATTGTGGGGAAGTCCAATCTGGGGAAGGGGAGTGAAGGGAAGCCCCTCAAACTAAGTTCCATTGAGAAGCAGAGTCCGACAAGAGGGATGGGTACTCCGGAGAGGGAAGAGGACCAGTACATCTTGTAATGGCTGCAAAATTCATTCTTCCATTCTTTAACATAGCCATCATTCACTCACTTCTCAAACGTTTATTGAACACCTACTATGTGCCAGGCACTATTTTAGCTCTGGGGATACTGCCAAGGAAAGGACAGACATGGCCTCTGCTCTCAAGACACTTATATTGCCATGTTTGGCTCTCTCCCTCAGCCTGTGACCACTGCCTTCGGGCCCTGGAGAAGGCAGAGGAGAATGCCCAGAGGCTGACCGGGAAACCAGGCCAGGTTCTGCCTCACCCGGAATTGTGCACTGTGCGCAAGGACCTCCATCAGAACTGTCCCCACTGCCAGGTAAGCATCCCTGGGGACTGTGTGCATTTAGAAGGGGGCTGGTGGGGGAGGACTGAGCTGAGGGAGACCAGAGTGAGGACAGACCTGGTCATGGCCCTTGAGAACCATGATGTAGGGCAAGACATTGAAAAGGCTGAGTTACTGTTCCAGTCCCACTGTCTAGAAAAAAGGCTTGATGGGAGCTTGCCTTGGCGGCCTGGCAAGGGCTCTTTCCTCTCTTCCTGAAAAACTATCTTTCCTTCCAATGGTTTTATAAGCTTTCTCCCATGTCCCCAGAGCACCGTAGGCTTTCTCATCGCATGGTACCACTGAACTATTCCTTGGGCAGTGTGTAGAAGGAGTGCAGTTAGAGGAGGTGATCACAGGGGACATGTGTGCCTTACTCATAGGCAGATACTAGGGTGCTGACCTCCACCGACTCCAACAGGTGATGTATTGCAGTGCCGAATGCCGGCTGGCAGCTGCTGAGCAATACCATCAGGTCCTGTGCCCAGGTCCCTCCCAGGATGACCCCCTGCACCCTCTCAATAAGCTGCAGGAGGCATGGAGGTAGGTAGCATTTCATCTCTTGTTCCTTTTTCCTTCCCTCTCTGCCTGCCTGCTTGGGTTTGGCAGAGGCAGCCATCTTTCTTAAGTTACTATCCCTTAGGTTTTTCTTTCATTCATAAGGTTAACCAGAGGTCACATTGCCCAGCCCCCTCCTGACTTAAATCTGAGCTGCCAGTCCCACCCCCCCCTTAGCATTTTACACACTCGTAGAAGGAGCCCCGTTGAGCCCACGGTGGGTAAAGTCCTGCCCAAGTCCACATCGTTTACTTTCTCTCTTTGGTTATAAATGGTATCAGTATGAAGGATTCTCTAGCAGTCGGACTGGGCTTCTCAGAAATTCAGCTACTGGAAAGGGAATTTCTAGGCCAAATCTTTTTCTTTCTCTGCAGGAGTGTTCACTATCCCCCTGAGACTGCAAGCATCATGTTGATGGCCCGGATGGTGGCCACAGTGAAGCAGGTGAGCCCACCTGACCCTCCCAGGGAAGCTTATTCTGGCCTCATTCAACCCTTGGCCTCATTCTTCGCCTCACCTCAAGACCCTGGCTTGGATGCAGATTTCCTCCTGAGCTCCCCAAATGAGAGCTGCCTGCTATGTAAACCTTAGGAGTAGCTAACCATAAATCTGGCAGGGGAAGTGGGGTTCACATTGCCTGTAGTCTTTGACCTATGAGAGGACTTGTGCAGCAGCAATTCATGCATTTGATTTATAAGCACCACTTTTCAGGATTGTATCTCTTACATAAAGCAAGAGAAGCCACTCTAACTGCTTCTTTTAATATTGTTGCCTTTCAGCTTCAATCTCTTATTTTACCAAGTGTTACTGAATTGGCTGGCTTGTCCTCATTTGAAGAGATGATGGTGTGTGGGTGGGATGGGGAGGAAGTCCCTAGACAGAGGCAGGAAGGGTCTCCTAGTCACTCACATGTAATGGTGTTTCCCTGATGGCAGGGGCTTTAGGATCATAGGCTACCTCTTGGGTAAGGGTGGCAGAAAGGAGGCATGTGCATGCACAGGCATGTGTGAACATGACCCTGAAGTACATCTGTTCACTGCAGGCTAAGGATAAGGATCGTTGGATCAGGCTCTTCTCCCAGTTCTGTAATAAAACAGCCAATGAGGAGGATGAAATTGTCCACAAACTCCTTGGGGACAAATTCAAGGTTAGTCTTCTCTCATGATCTCCCAGCCCCAGTAGCCTGGAATATTCTGTGACTTTCTGTGGGGAGCTCCACATCTGATTCTTTCCCAGCCAAAGGAAGGGGTTAGAGTCTGGGGCCAAAAATCTATTCAGAGGACTTAAATTCCTGCCACTGTTTAAGTTCATGACCTAACATGGACCTAAAGTCAGAAAGTGGCATGATGTGACAGAGGAAGGAGGGGTTGAGTGCTTTGATGGGGGAAGGCAGAACCCTGTGATAGGAGAGCAGTGGGCAGATCAGGTACACCTGAAAAAGGAGGGCTGGGTCCACAGGGTCAGGGAGTGGTGTGAAACGGGAGAATTGTAGCTGCCAAGGTAGTGAGTGCCCACTGCCAATCAAGTTACACATTCTCACTGAGGACAGCAGACTTCCATGCAGGAGCTGCCTGAAGGTGGAGGCAAGTGTGTGAAAGGGCACCTGGGGTGGGTTCCTACATTGAATTCTGAGGAAAGGAGGGGGAGAATCAAGCTGGTCTGGAGGCCAGGTTAGGAAGCCTGGAGGGCGGTGGTAAGGATAGGCATTCTAAGGCAGGTGCCTTGGCCCTACTGGAACAAGTATTGTAAAATAGGGAGGCATTTGGGGTTTGTTACCCTGGGTTGGAACAGGCCAGGGGACTGCCATGGCTTTTTGGAAATGAGGACTTTGTGGCCTGGCTTTGCCCCCAGGGAAAGCTCATGCTGCAGAGCTGGCCCTTTTCCCATTCCTCACCTGGTCTTCCGGGCCCTGCCTGGGTGCTAATCTTCAGGGATGCAAGTCTCTCCCTGCTTCCCCTAATCCAGGGCCAGCTGGAACTTCTACGGACACTCTTCACAGAGGCCCTTTATGAGGAAGCACTCAGCCAGGTGAGTGGGGGGAGGTAGGACCAACAGCCTCCCAGTCACTGCAGCTCTCCAGGAACAGCTGGGTCGGCATCTCCTACTGGGATAGCTAAGCCAGGCCGACTTGGTCTTCTGGAACTGGGATGGAACCGACTCATGGAAGACTTCCTGAACAGTTGTGAGGAGAAAAACAAATGGCCGTAACCTGAGGGTTCATCTCTTTTTCTCTCCCACAGTGGTTCACTCCAGATGGATTCCGGTCTCTCTTTGCTCTTGTTGGGACCAATGGCCAAGGAATCGGGACCAGGTTAGGAGAGAATATTCTGGAGCTCTCGGACTTGTCCCATAGGGCTTGGGTGGGAGACTGGCTGAGGAAGGTAGCTACAACTCCTTTCAAGATTAGGGTGGGGTAGGGTGTGTGGCTCTGTGGCTAGAGTGCTGGACTAGACTCAGTGATGAGGATCAGAAAGAGAGACAGGTGAGGTGAGATTGATCTTGGGAGCTTTGGTTTCTTGGGGAAAATGGGGCCCCAATCCTGGAGAAAGAAATGGGCTTAACTTGCCTGGAGGTGGAGAGCCCTGTGAGCTGGGCCTACCCCTCTTCCAACCATGGCTGCCTGGGACCCCCAGCTCACTGAGCCAGTGGGTCCATGCCTGTGACGCTCTGGAGCTGAAGCCTCAGGACCGCGAGCAGCTAGATGCCTTCATTGACCAGCTATACAAGGACATCGAGGCAGGTTGGTGAGATGGAGCCTTGGCCTCACCCAACCTTGGAAATGCCCCTCAGTGAGATGGCGGACACACAGTCTTCCCCCAGGGACCTCTTGAGTTTATGGTTGGGGAAGGTACTCCTTGTGTGCCTGTGGGAAGCTTCAAATCTGTCCACAGGGTACACAGATGTGTACCCTGAGATCCATGCAGAGGCATTGGCCCTGAGATCCATGCAGAGGCTCGATGTTGAGGGTGGGAGAGTGCTGGCCAAAAAGGTGATAATGTTTACAGACAAGCAAGGCCGTGCCTCAGAGAAGCAGATGGAATAAAATGGTAGTGATTGGGTGGCAAGATGGTGGAGCCAGTGCCCATCCTTACAAGTCTAGTTTCCTTTTCCCACCTGTAAAATGGATAATTCTAGAATAAAACCTGCATATTACTGTCTTACAGCAACTGGCGAGTTTCTTAACTGTGAAGGATCTGGCCTCTTTGTGCTTCAGAGCTGCTGTGAGTCCTGACATTGAGGAGGGGTGGCCTCACAGCCACAGTTCATCTTTCTTGATGGAACCCTTCTTAGGCTAGTGTAGTTGGTCTGGCAGTGGGGTTAAGTCTGAGCTTCCTTGGACATTCTCTTGGGCCTTGCTGTTTCATCATTTTTTCATTCACTCATTCATTGGATTGCTTGTGCCTTAATATAAGTTTATGTATAAAACCTTCCAGTGGGCCAGGCCCTGTGCTGAGGCAGGGCACAGAGCTCTTATTCTTGCTAAGGGAAGCATGGGCCCTGCACCACCACTGCCCTGTGAGATTTGGTGGGGAGCGTTGTGAGGGTCTGGGAGGCTGTCAGGATCCTGGGAGGAGGATTCTTAGGCTAAAAGGTGAGTCTTATCAGCACCAGGTTGGGAGGGGCAGAGACAACTCAGACTTGTCTTTTCTGGATCTCAGCCTCCTGCCCTCTGGTTTCCTCCCTGCCAACCCCTCCTCCCAGGCTCTGGGACTACTCTGCCCTCCCAAACTACATTTTCAGGGGGCCTGGGTCAGCTGTTACCACACTGTCTGTTACCAGTAGCAGACAGGACTGAGTTCTGTGGTCTGGCACAGGCATCCCTTCACAGCCCTCCCTCTCTTTCCCAGACACTGATAACACAACAGAATCCAGCTGGCCAGTGAGGAGGACAGCAGGGTGGTCATGGCAGGTGGCAGAGGGGAATGATATGGGAGTGCATTTGTGCCTATGCTCCATCGTCTTCAGGAAAGAGCACTGGACAGGGAGTTGGGAAACACTTTCCAGGACCTGTGCAGTCCTAGCAGGAATCAGAACAAGGAAGGATAGGACCCAGTGCTCTGCAGAATTGAGGCTGTTATTTTTATTAGTCAACAACCCTTACTACCTGCCTCTCATGACCCAGGCAACCACAGCTGTGTCCCCAATGCAGAGACCTCCTTCCCAGAAAACAACTTCCTTTTGCATGTCACCGCCTTGGAGGATATTAAGCCAGGAGAGGTGAGGGGCCTAGGAGCTGTGGAGGGCAGAGAGGGTGGGCAGTGAGCCTTGCAAGTTCTCTCCAGGGATTGGGAGCAGCAGTGTCTAGAGCCCCAAGTTCCGGTTGTTGGGTTGAATCTGGACATGCCCCAGGGCATGAGTCTTTTTGCCCTAACTCCACCCCACTTTTTTCAAAAAAACAACTCCAGAAAGCCTCGGAGCAATGTTTGAGAGACAGTTGTGTACCCAGCACCTTTTTATCACCAAATCTGCAGCTTCTAAGAAAGCAAGAAATGGCTCTTTGTGGCAGGGGCTCTGGGGTACTAGTGTGGGTTTGGGGCGCCTGCATGCTAGCGTACCACGCCTGGGTGAATCTTCTTCCAGGCAAGTAGCATTGCACCAAGATAACCTCTGACTCCAGCCACAGACCTTGGCTGTTGACTGCCTTTACCATGGCCTGAGGCGAATCGCAGTCCTCTCCGTCTCAGACACAGGTTGTTAGAGCCTGTTGATCTGCCTGCCTCTAGGCCTTTCCAAGGACTGGATCAGGGCAGCCACCCCTTCCCTTAAAGGCAGTGTGGGCCTGGCTTCTGAGCATGGGGCAGCCGTTGGAGATAGGATAGAGCTGAGGAGCCTCTTATCCCACCTGATAGAGAGGCAGGCTCAGACCCCACCTATTTTCTGCCCTCCAGGAGATCTGTATCAGCTACTTAGACTGCTGTCAGCGGGAGCGCAGCCGTCACAGCCGCCACAAGATCCTCAGGTGCCAGCAGGGGATGTGGTGGGAACTGGGCTTGGATCCTCCATCCGGTGGCTGGCTGACTTTTCACCCTCACCACCATCCTCCCAATCCCTGCAGGGAGAACTATCTGTTTGTCTGTTCCTGCCCCAAATGCCTGGCAGAGGCTGATGAACCCAATGTGACATCAGAGGAGGAGGAGGATGAAGAGGAGGAGGAAGGAGAGCCAGAAGATGCAGAGCTGGGTGATGAGATGACTGATGTGTGATGTCACCCTGCTGGAAGGGGACTTACCCCAGGCCCTGCCAGGAAGAGATCCTTCCTCCAGAGAAGAGGCTTGGAAGGAACTCCCCAATCCTGTTGCTTGCTTTCCCCCCATTATGCTAGCTCTGATTCTGCCAGGGTGTTAGGACAGAGGCTGGACTCCAAGCCCTGGACACTGCTGCTAAGTGGCTCAGGCTCTGAGCCGTCACTGAGCCTCTCAGAACCGGCCTCCCCCCGAGGTATTCCACTCCAGGGTATGAGCAGCTGGAACAAGGTCAGGGCCAAGCAGTGTTTCCTCCCCTTGGCCCTGTGGCCACCCTTCCCATCCACCTGAGGCTTCACCCCTCTCAACTTGCTGTGGAGGGGGTAACAAAGTGGCCATCTGAGAACAGCCTAATTTCACAGGAGGGAGAGGGAATGAGCCTTCTTCCCCACCTCCCACCATTGTAGCTGAGAAGGCAGCTGCCTGACCACCAGCACAGCTGGGAGAGGCAGGAAGGAGGAGCTGGGCCTCCGGAGCACCTTCCCTAAGGCTGTGTGCTGGGGAGCACCCAGCCAGGAGGATGACCTCCCTCTGCCCACCACTGCACTCCCAGCATTTGGACATCTGGGGAGTGGAGATGAGCCCCTTCCCAGACTCCAGACTCTGTACCATGCGCCTTGCCTTTCAGGTCTGGCACAACAGCTAACCCAAGCAAGAGGCCTCTGCTTCCCTCAGAAAGGGCATGTGGGGATTGTCACCCCTTCCTCACTCCCTCTTCCATTGAGGGTTCTAGCAGCATGGCCAAGCAGGTCTGTACATCCTTAATTTAGGATGCTCTAGAGTCTTACCTGGGACCAGTTTAACTTTGGTTGGCGAGGGGCTTTCCTGGCTTCAGTCTTCATCTTTAGGGTGTCCACAGAGGAACATTAAAGTCTTCCGGAAACCTAGAGGGGCTGAGCTAGATATTGGGAGATTAGCCCTGACTGTGTGCCCCCAGATGAGCACCACGCATCACTCTTGGGCTGGATGCTATGGGAATTATAACCCATCACTTGCAATTTTTTTCTGCCTATCTTCCCTGAGGGGCCTGCCATATCCCACTGCTGAGGGATTCCCAGGAGAAGTGCCCACCCCACGGGCCCTTTCCTATATATGAGCCAGTCTGGCCTATTGAGTTCTTACTTCTTCACAACAGCCAGGACCCCTTCTAACCCCACCTGCCCACTGTTCTCAATAAAACATGAGTGGTGACAGGAATGCTTTGTGGAGGATGGCTTGACAGGCTGCCCTGAGACATGGCAGTCATGTAGGTGGTGCAGAGGCACGTAGGTTAGACAAGGTGATGGCAGATGGGGGCTCTGCTTCCCAATCTGGGTTCATCTCTGGTCTCTACACTGCTGTGCAAATGCTTCTGAAGCCCAAGAGCAAGGATCCTCCACAGGTGTGTGGATCCCCAGTACCAGGCTCTAAGGTGAGTCTTCTCCTCAGGTAAATTATAGGTCCCTGAGTGCTTGAGCAGGAGGCTGTGTTGGAATCCAAGATTAACAGTCTGAGCACTGGCCCAAAAGGGCCTTGGGCAAGTCATTTATCTACTCTGAACTTCAATATCTTCCCCTCAGAACAAGGGTATTAGACAGACATGTGAGTTTGAAGGCCCTACCCACCCCCATATGCTTATTTTCTAGGACACAGTTGCAACCCTGATGAGAGGCTTTATTGCTAAAAAGTCCGTGAGGGTTTATTAAGTCCTCAAACACCAGCTCCTTAGACCACTTCACCAAGTGCTGTGAAGGACACTGAGGAGACCGTGGGTGAGGAAGGCTGGAGCCAGATGGGGTGTGACAGATCACAGATGACCACCTTTAGCCCCTTTTGTTCCAGATTCTAACCAAGAAGCCCTGGGGACTGGCTATTGCCTGTTCCCCCTAGCATGAGACACGTTTGGGGGCCCTGAGGAAGGGAAGGCCAGTGGTGTGGTTTTCTTTAGCAAAACCAAGGCCCAGGCCTTTTTCTTCTACCTGTCCCCAAATGCTATCCTTAAACCTAAACAGCAGAATTCCTGGATTCCCCCTCCCAGCCCAGAGTTGCTTATGGCTGGAATGTGGGACCAAACTCTTCTACCAGAAGGTCCAAGGCGGTTGCAGCAGCTCAAAGGTGGGGATGCTGGTGACATTGACTGGGATGGAAATGATGGCCCATGGCAGCCCATGCTGTTCCAGGGAGCGGCGGATCATGTAGCTGGGAGGGCATGAAGAGAGGTGGCAACAGTCACTTTCCCAGCACCCTATCACACCCCATTGTCCCCATCCTGGGAGTTCCAGAGCCTGAGGACTTCTTTGGCCCTCCAACTGGGGCACCCCCCAAGACAAGGCTTGTGGGAAGGGATTGGTGATTGCCCTTGACCTCCCCAAGTTAATGGCACCCAGCCTGGTGCTGATAACAGAGACAAGGAGCCCTCACCCGTCTCGGCCGAGCAGGAAGAGAGCAGGGATGTCAGCTGTGCGCTGGGTACTGTCCTGGATCATCTCCACGTAGAAGCTGTCATTGTCAACTGCATTGTCCGAGATGATCACTGCCCGCCCGCCATGCTCCTGTACCACTCGGGTCTTGGAGAGGAAGGAGCAGCCCCTGGAAGAGGTGATGAGACCAATGAAAAGGTAGGTTCCTCACTACCCCTGTACTAGACTATCACCCTGGGAGAATGAAAGAAGCATCATGGAGAACTTACAAGGGCTCATAAGTAAATGGCCAAAGGCATGGATAATCTTAAGACAGTTCTTAAAGACCTTTAAAAAGGTGAATTACTCAGTTATTTCAAAGCACCAACACTGACCTGAGTCTATCTGTGTCTCCCTCCCCTTGTTGCTGTGCCTGCTGCTCCTTACCCCCTCTCCACCAGAGCGATCTGGTCCTGGATGAAGAAACCGTTGCTGAGTTCCCCGCAGGCCTCTGAAGGTTCTGCAGGGACAAGGTGAATCTGCTCATACCTTGTGTGCTGAAAGACATTTAGGCAGGTCAGAGTGAGGAGACACTGGCTTTAGGATAGGGCTGACAATCCCATCCTGTCAGCTCCTCACAAAGTGAGAAGGAAATGTGGAGTGCTTTCTGTGTGCTGGGCACTTGAGCATTTTTACTTAATTCTCACGAAGGCTTATCTAGTCCTCCATCCTGCCTTTTCATGAGATAGGTACGGGAGTTGATATGGACCCAGAGAGGGGAAGTAACTTGCCTTAAGTCACACAGTGCAGAGGTAGAGCTAGCAGAACCCTTGGTTTTTCACTATTTTGTGTCCCTAAAGCAGATAGCTTGTCCTTCCATGGTGCCCAGGTCTGTATTATACCCAGGGGAGTAGCTGGAAGCCCTTCGTTCCTGCACTGCAGCCCCTGGAGGGCAGCGCCGGATTCTCTTCCTTCCCTGCCCCAACACTCAGGTTTAAGGAATAAGATGATCACCTCAGCTTAGCTGGGGGAAGGTGGAGACAGAATCAGAGACGGGGGGCCTCCCTGAACTTACAAAGATACCACCAAAGTCCTTGGCAGGTGTGGCTGTGAAGATGTATCTAATGTCCCCAGGACTCAGTACTTGGAAGTACAAATAATCATGGATGCGTAAGCCTGAAAGACAAAGAGTTCAGGTGAGAAGACTTCAGGGAACAAGTTGGTTAAGGTTCAGATCATGGATGCTGTGTTTTCAACTGAGCTGCTATAGTCTGGGACCCGGGGCCCAGCTTCAGCCAGGTGGAGGAGCTCTCTGCCCTGGGGAGGATGGAGTTGATGCAGACAGAGTTAGTAACCCAGAAACATAGCTGCAGCTATCCAGGTGAGCCAGGAAGATTGAGAGCTCTAGTGTTATCTCAGATGGTTAATCCTTTCCTCTGTAGTCAAGGTGGAGATAATGGTAGCCTGGGTACAAAATAACTCTCACTAAAAATGAAAAGCTGACTCTGGTTCCACTGCCACCCCCATAGTCCAACTACTGTTATTTTTTGTCCTGACCCAGCTTCCTAACTAGTCTGTTTCCATTTTTGTCCCCTAAGGTACTTTCCCCAAACAGCTGTCAGGGATCTTCTTAAAACATCTCAAAGCAAATGTGATCATGTCACCACTCCTCTGGCTTCAGTACCCTTCAACAACTTCCTTTGGCACTTAAAGTAAAAAAGAACCTCTTCCCTACCACCTACCTGCAAAGCCCTGCTCCATCTGGCCCTTGGCTGCTACTACAACCTCATCTCCTTCCTATGTTCAAGTTACACAGGCCTCCTTTCAGTTTCTTTGAGCCTTTTTGCAAGCAGTTTCCTCCTCCTGGGAGGCTTCCTACTCTCACCCAGACCACCTCTACCTCTTTACCTGGTACACTTCTGCCCTATGACTGCCCTCCCTTTATGCCCACTCAAAATTTTCTTCTCCATTGACACTTTGAATATAACTTTCAGTTATACAGTATCCAGTATTTTTTAGTGTCTGTCTCCTGCACTAGGGCAAGGGCCCTAAGTTTGTCGCTTCACTTAATGCTGTATCCACATTACCTAACATAGTGGTCAGGAAATGTGGGTGCTCTAATGTTGATGAGTGAACAACTATCTTCAACTCCATTGCCTTGAAGAAGAGCATTGCCAGAATAACCAGATTTTTCTGGGGTGTGGAAACTACTCTTCAGCAGCAAACTTTAAGGTTTTACCTGAACTTGAGTCCTTGGTTTCCTTAGCTCAGAGAAACTCAGGAATGTGAAAGGGTGGAAGCTGCTGACACAGGCCCATTAATCAATCAACAAGCCACCAAGCCATTACAGTGTGCCCAGGTTAAAACTAATTGTAGCTTTAGCTTCCCTTGTCTACTCAAATCACAGCCACCAGGTAGAATTCCATTGGTTTGGCATTGGGCTATACAACCTTTCATCCTGGGAGTATTCCCATCAGATACAGATACACTCCAAGGAAGCCACCTTGGGTTATCATTAAACTCCTCCTTCCCACACACGTCTTTGCCTGACCTTTGATTCTGCTGATCTGTGTAAATTAAGTGTGGGTATACATATATTCATGTATGTGTATGGGTGTATACGTTTATGTGCTCCTGTAGATGCAAACAGGCTGTGTGGGTACGTATGTACTTGTGCGTGTGAGTCCACGTGTAGGAGGAGCGTGTGCTCCTGTATATGTGACAGCTCATCTACGTATCTCTAGCTGTCCCTTGTTCCTCCTGGTCTCCCACTCAGCCGTGTGGGTCGGTGCTGGCTGGGAGCAGGGGGAGTCTTCCTTCGACGTGGGTAGTTAAGGATTCAGCCTAGCCTCAGGCAGCGCCCAGCTCAAGTCCCTGGAGACGGATCAGCACCCAAACCACTCCAGTCGCCCCTCTTGGGACCTGCCTAGACCCGAACTCCCGGGGTCCCCAAGGTGACCCGTGGCTCCCGACCCGAGACGCGAGCAAGCTGGCCAGCCCGCCCCGCCCCAACGCAGCCCAGCCCGTTGTCACTCACCGTGAGCCACGACGCACGCGGGGAGCCAGAGCACGAGACAACACCAGCCCGCGGCGCCGGGGACCATCTCCAGGGCCCGGCCCGGCTACGCACTTCCTACAGCTGCGGTGGCGCGCGTTGCTCTCCAGACTTCAGCCTGACAGCTGCTCCGGCCTCCCGCCCCCAGACCCGTTCTCGCCGCTGGTTGGCGGTCGGGAACGAGGCCCAGGGTTGATTGGCTCTGATGCCTGCTCATGTAGCCACAGTTTCCGCCTTTGAGCTTTATCCCACTTCCTATTGGTCAAGAGAAGCGGTGCCGCGGGTTGACTGGTCTATACACTTCACAGAAACTGCCGCCCTGCGCTGGGGCTGGTGGACGGCCTGGGAAAAATGGCGAGCTGGAGGTGGTTTCTCCGCGGGACTGGCTTCAGCCGCCGAAAGTTCTGACCCTCAGCGCTTGCGTCGCGGCCGGATTCTCCTCGTGGCAACCTGCCAGAACGACGATTTGCCTTCTTCCACCTGGGCTTCCTTCCTACCCACTCCCCACCTTGGGAAGGCATTCATCAAGCGCCCAGGGAGACTTCCGCGACCCTCGCTCTGCTAGTCTTCTGCCCAGTCCCACCGGGCTTGCGAGCTCACTGTCGGTAGACGCCCTCGAGGATTCTCTGGCCTATGCAATGCTAAAAAATAGGAGTTGGGGCCAGGTGCCCGCTTCTCTGCCATGTATTGTGCAACTCCGACTTTGGACATTTTCCTAACCTCAGCCTCAGTTCCCTCATCTGTAAAATGGGCATGATAAAATGGGCATGATAACAGTACCACTGCGATAGCGTGGTAGGGACTGAGGTCTCTGACCAAGTGCTTTCTTAACATAAGTCTCTCCTACCGTCAGCGTTCAATAAATGTTTACGTTTATTGCATTTCTTGGTCTGGCATCTAGGGCTGGGGAACGTGGGTAGGAGGAAAGGAGGAATGGAATTAGGGTTAGTGGGTGACGTGAGCCAAGCAAGAATCTCACATGCTCAAAGAGAAACAGCTGGACCGAAATCCAGCGACCCTACGATCAACGTTTCTCGCAAGAGCACCCTCAGAGGCCCAGTCCCTGGCCCTTCTAGCCACCTCGACTCTGTGGTAGCCAACCATAGAGTGGCGGAAGTAGGCGGTCCTCTTCCTCTCTGGGTCCAACTGCTCTGCGAAGTTTCTGGGGATTTCTCTGGCGCGGAGCATTGTGGGCTTGCTGGGCGGCCCGGACACGGTGAAAAGGAGAGCAGCGGGCCACTGAATAAGCTTCCAAAATGATGGTGAGTGGCGTGTTGCGCATCCGTGGCCATCCGCTGCCTCCCGCTGCCATCTGGCCCATGGCTGGCGTCACCTGGCGTAGATCGGCCCGGTAGAGCCCTCCCCTGCCTGCTGACCCTGTCCTTCCCCGATTCCCCGTCTACGGGCGACCCCGGCCTGCCGGGGCCTGGCTCTGCCCGGGCACTTAGTAGGGCCCGTAAGCAAAGGCTGTGTGGGCTCGAGGGGAGGTTTTCGTCTGGGTGGCTGGGAACTACAAGTCCCAGGGTGCTTCGGGACCTAGGGGACCCGGTTTTTGAAATCCCCCACATTTGTGACCTGTGTTAAGTGCGAATTGAGCGTGCACACGTGGTCGGCGGCCAGACTTGGAGTTGGAAGCCCTGCCTGCCCTGGAAAATGCGGGGTGTAAAGATGTGTGCTTCCTAGCACGCGCAGCGACAGAGTGGGGACCTTACGAGCCCACGGCCTCGACTGTGGTCGCTCGCTATCTCTCAGCCTGCTTGCTGCTGCATAAATGGAAACAGACTCAGCTCATACTTTAATTCATTCATTGAGTAAGCGCCTATTTAGTGCCTATTCAGTGTACCACGCACAGTTGCCTGTTGGCAATGCAACTCCTCAGCCAGGAGAATGGACAGAGCAGACGGGGCACTGTATCAGACCTGGGAACAGCTGGGCTCTGAGCCCGCCCTTGTCTGCCCCTCTGCGTTTGACCTTAGACCAGGCTTTTCTAGTTGGCTATCTAACGCCGGGTCTCCTTTTCTTAGATTAGACTGGTGGGAGTGGGTGCGGTCGGTGAAACTTGGAGGTTCCCTATAGCCTTCCCCCCATCCGACTTGGCATCTCTATCCTACCTGTCCAAGCTGCAGATAACCCTTGAAGAGTCCCAAGCCTGGGTGGTATCTCTTGAGATGCTGTTGAACAGGACCAGCTTTTAAGGTGTTGGAGGCAAAACCCTGACCAAGATAATATTGCTCCCTGTGCACCTGGCAGTTTCACCCATTCAGTTTGGTCTATCAATAGGATTCAATTCTCTGCTCTTTTCCAGCTTCCTGCAGCTTCTTCCTGTCCTTGTAGATATCAAACCAACCCCTGTAAGGTGTTCATTCCACTACCAGATACCATGTGAATCCAGCCGTACCTAAGATAGAAACCTGACATTTATCTGTCTGTACTCTCCCTTCAGATCTCCAGTACTGCCCTTTATCAATCCACCGTCAGTATTACCTGAATCATCGTCTCTGTGCACAGACGGCATAGCAGAGCAGTTGAGAGTAAGGGCTCTGGAGCCGCACTGAATGCCTACGTTTGTAACTCAGCTCTGTCACTTACTAGGTGTGTGACTTGAGCATGTTACTAAATTTCTGGTCCTCATTCTGTTAAAGGGGATTCAATGAACTAATACATAAAAAGTTCCCAGCATGTAGTAAACACTTGGCAAATGTTAGCTATTCTGCTAGGTGGATGTTTGTTTGCTTCCTTTCCTCCTCGTAATCCATCTTGCTCCTAGGGCTACCAGTTTTGGTTGGCATTCATTAAAACTAGGGATAAGAACCGAACTTTGTCTGGTGATAAAGCCCTTCACCAGCAGTCTCTAGACCACCACACTTGGGTTTTTCCTGAAATGACTCCTACTCTGTTTCCCTGCTGTATTGTCTGTATCTCCCCTTTTGGCATGTGAAACTACTATCAAGAACCCTCCTTGCTGTCATCAAATTGGTCCCTGATATTCTAGAAGCCTTCTGTGTTCAGAAGGGAGGTGAAAAGGTCCCTTGAAGCCTCAGCCCTATGACTTTGGTACAGCTTGTACAAAAAGTATGTCTTTGCCTTTAGGTTGTTGAGTACTATATGCCTTGACATATAAACACCTGTTTTATAGAACACCAAGCTTAGTAATGCTTAATAAAAATTTTTTACGAGGATTACGAGAAAGATCATGAAGCTGAAATTGCAAAGCACTGTGATACCTTTGGCACATTACTGGGTTCTGCTATTGTTTCTTTACTGGAGTAAAAAATGAGTGAGGTTGAAAAGTAACCTGGGGGCAGAAACTTTACATAGCAGTGCCTGCCTCTGGGGAATTAACAGAAGAGGACCCATCCTGCTTGAGCTGGCTTGGCTCAGTCCAGCTCTGCCATCTTTCCGTACCCTATAGGATCTCTCTTCTACCCAGCCCGCCATTTCTGTAGGGCCTGCAAGCATAGAGAAGTTGGGGACTATGTGGTCAGCTGCTTCCAAGCCCTTCTTGCCTTATACTTAAGAATTCTCATTGGCTTTAGTGTCATCGTACTACCGATGCTTTTCCAAAACTACCAAGCCCTCGACCAATAGCACTCTGTCTTATTTCATAGCTTATATCAAGCACTTTCGTGTCTATGTAACAGTTGAATTTACAGCACCAAAAGCTGCTGTATATTGTTCATATGGGGCCAAATCTAGGCATTCCATAAATTGAGATTACTACAGTCCTTAGCTTTGGGAAGCTCATACTTTAAAATGGATAGCAATATAAAAGTTGTGTGCAAGAGGAAGCAGAGTTATGGAATTCCCTGTTCAGGATGCCCCTGTTAGCTGCTGTTGAGAAAACTACTTGGAAGAATTGGGGCTCTGAGGAATTGCTGGCCTGGTGATTTTGGTAGAAAGTGCCAGGGTGGCTTTTATAGGTGGTAGTACAATTTGGAGATGGGCGAGAAAAAGTCTACAAAAGCATTGGTAAGTCAGCGTGTTGGAGAGGTGAAAGAGTTTGTTGACGACAAGAGGAAGGAATTGAGACAAGTTGGATTTTGGTTTATGTGTAAGAGTCCCTCGGGATAGGGTAGACCACCGCATACTGGAGGCTGCCATGCAGAATGATGCTATGGGACTGGGAGAAGGCGGGGCTTTTGGGGGGGACATGCCCTTCCTTACAGAAGGTGCATGGGTCCAGAAGAATGCTGGGAGTATAGAGAGGCCATTTCTTGCCACCAGACCTGGGACGCTACCATGAAAAGGAAGGAATTTTCCCTTCAGGTCTTGCCTAACCCCAGAGTTACGGGGTTATCTGACAGGAATTCCTTTTTTTAAAATGAGTAATGTGTGACACATTCTTTAGGGAAAGTTAAAACAAAATGTACAAGACAGTGTCAAAACCTTTTTTACTATCACTCTCTTACTCAGAGTTTGTTGGGCATCTTTCTAGGTCCTTTTCGTGCATTTACGTTTTATATCTTGCCTCTCAACTGGTTTTCAGTAGGGCTTTTTATTTATTTTATTTTTTATATAAATCACACCATGCCTTTCCTCTGCTAAAAGGAATTTGCAGGACTTCCCTTCTTTGTAGGAATAAAATCTAAACTCCTTACCTTGGCCTGCAAGTGAGTGTGTGGTCTGGTTCCTGCCAGCCTCTTCAGCCTTCGTCCAGTCTTGTGCTTCCTCACCATCCTCCAGCTGCACTGACCAGAGGAGTTGCACTTTGTAAGGAATTGCCCAGGTGAAATGGAGTCAGCCTCGTGGGTTGCTAGACTTACTGGTGTGTGAATTCCTGATTTCTTATTGTTCTGCCAAGAGAGCCCTCTGATTTCCTGTGCCTTCCCTGCTTAGACACCTGAAGTACTCCGAGGGGTTAATGTGGGCAGTGGCTTCCAAACTTCATATTGCAGTCAATCCAAAGTAAGAAACAAACATTAAATCATAGCCTAGTCTCACACACATAACCCAAGTTTTGAAACAGTATTTACCCTTTCTGTATTCTGTTTCACACAGACTTAGTCACAGACGCTGGGGAGACCAGGTCTGGTTCATGAGCTCATCTCTGAGGCACGGGCTTGGATGCAGAAAGGACTCTGGTTTGCTAAGCTTAAGAATTTGTGCTAATGGTCACTAGAGCAAAGACATCTAAGCAGGTCCTTTAAAAAAAGCAAGTATGCTTGCTCCCCAGTGTTTGTGAAGCAGGTCTGCAAATGAAGCCTCTAGGGACTGTGACTCTACCGGAGGCCAACACAAAACAGAAGAATACTTCGTTGGGGTATCTGATTGGAGATGAGGCACAAGAAAGCTTTATGGAGCCAACATGAAAGAGGGAAACATTGCTGTATGAATTAAATGTGTGGTCCTTTTGTGAGGCAAGTCAAAGTGCCATTTGTCTCCCTGGCTACTTCACTACATAATTGGTAAAGCTGCCTGCCTGTGCATTTCTAGGATAATACCAGAAGCTGTAGGGACTTGTGTTTTGCTCAGGGCCCCGTCTACTTGTTTAGGATTAAGTTGTAACACAGGTAAGTGGGTGTTTTGCTGGAGGGTGAACACAAAATGGCCTGCTGCTTCCTCCTCTGCTGTGACCTAGTTCCTCAATACAGGAACTGGTGTCGGGAGTTGAAAAGGCTGTGCTCATTCAGCTGGGTGCTGGAAAACACATGTTTGACTTGTTTTTTTTGGACTGATTCAATGCTTCTCAAACCAATTCCGAGCAAACCTGCAGAGTTTGCATGATCTTGGCAGTGTCTCTGAAGGCAGAGGCTGGTTAAGGAATAGATGTAGTGGATAGTGGGGAAATGTGGCCTAAAAAGCCTCCAGATACTTCTGTTATGAGGGAGATGGGAGCATTTTTCCTTCCCAGTCCCTCCTTGAATCTCATTGTAGTAGATGATTATTACAAGCAATCACTTGCTCTTCTTTCCTCTCTAGCCCACACCAGTTATCCTGTTGAAAGAGGGGACCGATAGCTCCCAAGGCATCCCCCAGCTTGTAAGTAACATCAGTGCCTGCCAGGTCATTGCTGAGGCAGTAAGAACTACTCTGGGCCCCCGTGGCATGGACAAACTCATTGTGGATGGCCGAGGTAAGCCTGCAGGTTCCCCAGTGTGTAGGAGAGAAGGCTCCTGGGGAGTGTTGGGGGCTAGCAGAGGTTGGCATCAGAAATCCCATTGCTTTTAAGATCTCTGAGGGATTTCTCATTATGAAGTGGTTCCATTTCATACATTGTCCTGAATGCTGAGCCCTGTGGGAGAAGCTGGGCTCAGGAGCCTGTTGCCTCATAAGAGATGGCAGCCTAGAGACAAGAATTAATCATCTGTAGTTGTCTGTGGTCACTCAATGTTGTATCCTCTTTCCAAGACAGAGAAAATCCCCCCATATGTTTCAGTGGATTAATTGACGTGAGATACTAGGGTATCAAGCAGTAGAATACCTAAATGGTTACTCATTCCCATTAAAAAATTTTTTTTCAATATCCACTTGGGGTGTGCTAAATGCTGTTCAAAGAAAATCAGGAGCCCATGGTCTTCAGAAGCCTGTGATTTGAAGTGGTCCTTTGGGTACAAAGCCAACTCTATAAAATGATCAGTTCATGCCTACCTCCCTTCTGCCCTATCCCAATAAAGCGTAGCTGGCCTCCAAAGCCAACAAGAAGACAAAATTTTACAAAAGGAGTTTTAAATTTTTATTTGTGTTTGTTCCTTTTAAGGCAAAGCAACAATTTCTAATGATGGAGCCACAATACTGAAACTCCTTGATGTTGTCCATCCTGCAGCAAAGACTTTGGTGGACATTGCCAAATCCCAGGATGCTGAGGTAGGAAGCGTGTGCTCAGGTGGAGGTTGAAACACATGCCTGCTTACTCCTTTGAAAGTGTTTTTTATTTTACATGTCTAATTACAATTTTAAAAGTAAGATATGCTCATAAAGATATTTAGATAGAATTAATACTCTTAAAATTCCTGCTGTTCAACTGCATATAAGTGAGATCTTAGGCTCAGGCCATGTGCTGTCATTCATATGAGTTGCCAGGTAAATAATTGAACCTTTCACCTGTTGGTCACCTTTTAAGATGGGGCTGGAAACTCTAGGACTTCCAGTTCACCTTTTTTTTTCTTTTATGGGGGTAAAATGTATATAACATAAAATTTACCATTTTAACAATTATTAAGAGTATAATTCAGCAGCATTAACCAGTCTGCCTTTTTTAAAAAACCATTTATAACGCTGGAGTCTGATAATACCTGTGGAGAGAGACAGGTTTGCATTTTGGATGTAATTACAGATAAGTCCTAAAGTTACATGAAAAAGTTTTATTAGCTTATAAAACAAGTATGGCATATATAAAATTAAAGTGAGAAAAGTTTAGATTTACCCTGTTAATGTCTTCAACAAGGGACTAATACCTTTTTGGCCAGGAGTTTGGCAACTTAAATCCTTAACCACAGTAACCCTTTCTTCCCCCTTGAGAATCCCTTACGTTATACTATGGGCACATGAGTTGATATTTCAAATTCAAAATAAATTTCTTCTTGAATCAGAGTTTAGCCAGTTTTCTTAAAAGCTCTTATTCTTTTTTCCTTTATTCAAAATAGGGTTTAGATCCCATTATAGAAAATAGCCATGTTAGATTGGCAGACTAGTGATCCACTTAATCCAAGTAGTGTTTAAAATATAAAGGATTGCCTAGTCCTGGGAGGTTTGTTATAGTGGGGTTTGGCTGGGAACCATCTTTCTTTAAACTCCTTTAGTACTTTACACTACTTAAAGAATATTCATCTTGTGCCTTTTGCTACCGTGGTTATTTGTGGCATGTAAGCATTGTATTGGAAGCATGACTGGGATTGTCTTATTCATCATTTTGTCTTGTATATAATAAATAAGTTCTTGGTTACTTCACATACATGTTTTCATGTCCTGAGGAAATTTAATTGTCCAAATCAATTCTCTTGAGAGTGGACCTCAGTGGGGAATTATTTTTGTAGCCCAGGACCATTTGATGGTATATATACCCAACCACTATCACCTTCCTTTGACTTGTGAACACCTGTGCTTTCAGGAAGAGGTTTTACACCCATTTAAAAAGCCCCCAGTTTAAAAGGGTAGATTGCCTAAATATGGAGTTTGGGGGCTTTATCCCTGAACATGAGATGATGTGAATTTCCTGTCATCCTCTTCCAGGTTGGTGATGGCACCACCTCAGTGACCCTGCTGGCTGCAGAGTTTCTGAAGCAGGTGAAACCCTATGTGGAGGAAGGTTTGCACCCACAGATCATCATCCGAGCTTTCCGCACCGCCACCCAGTTGGTATGAGAGTCCGGGCTAACTTGGTCTGGTACCTGGGCACCTTCATATTTCTCTTACAATATCTTTATTGGGGTGTGGAGAGACTGGGAACAGGGTTCCTTGGACATATTCTGAATACTCCTCCCAGGAATCTTCAGTTCTACCATTCAATAGCTGTTTGACTAGATATATTATTCCAACTCATTAAGTCTCAGGTTTCTTAACAGACCATAAGGTAGGTTCTCAGTGAGAGCTTTTTTTGTTTTTATCAAGTACTTTATGACACATCGTGAGACCTTTGACTTTGACCTTCATTCTGTGACCTTGGGTAAATCATTTCCTCTAGGCTTTACTTTCTCCCTTTATTATCTCCGTTTCATGATAGTGACATTAAATGAGATCATACATGAGAAGTGCTGTTGAAAAGATAACGAGTTTAACAAAGAAGTGTGTATATCATACATTGTATAACATTTCTAATTAATACATAAAATGCTGGAAGTTGCTGTGGGTGTTTTTCACAAGCCAGAAGGTTGGGACCACTCCAGTTTCGTAGCTTGTTTACACATTTGTTTTAGTGTGTTATCTGCCTATCCAGAGCTAAATCCTGAAAGTACCCTGATACCTATTCTACATTTCTAAAACTTCAGGAGTTTTCCAAACTATAGAGATATATTTTTCTGGAAAGCTACAAGTCTTAGAAATGTTTCAGCTGTAGAACAGAAGTGCTTAAGATTTGGGAGTCAGCAGATGAGGGACTAGCAAGAGAGATTGAGATCATGTCTCCAGTTAAGTCTTTAGCATGAGAGACTCACTCAGCTTCTGTTCTTGTCAGGCAGTTAACAAGATCAAAGAGATTGCTGTGACTGTGAAGAAAGAAGATAAAAAGTAAGTTGACAGTGAGCATTGTTGGAACCTTGACTTTCTGTGGCCAAATTGGATACAGAAGTATGTTGCAGCCCCTACATGTGCCTGCAGCTGTTTGGCTCTTGCTAGACTCTTGGCTGTGCACCAGCCCAGGCAGCAAAAAAGAGGCTGTAGACTAGTTTAAAAGCTGTCACACATGAGATCCTTGACTGTGTTCACCTTCTGTCACTGATACCTGCCCTAAAGATAACAGAAGATGAAATTGGTAAAGGCTGAGTTTAGAAGCTAGAATGGAAACCACCTCCACTTTACAATAGAATAAGACAACAGGGGCTTTTAAGGTCTGATGCATGTCCCACCTTTGTGTCCCAGGGAGCAGAGGAAGCTGCTGGAGAAGTGTGCCATGACCGCTCTGAGTTCCAAGCTGATCTCCCAGCAGAAAGCCTTCTTTGCTAAGATGGTGGTGGATGCCGTGATAATGCTCGATGATTTACTGCAACTTAAAATGATTGGTATTAAGAAGGTGCAAGGTGGAGCCCTAGAGGTAAGTAAGCCTGGTGTGACCTCCCTGAGAGGCTCCTACATTCACAGTGGCTCTTCAGCAGCTTGGTGTTGATAGAGAGCACAAGTTACAGATGAAGAGGGAACACGTGTTGGACTAGAGGTCAGACTTGGGCTGTATTCCCCATGCTGGCATTATAGGCTGTGACTATACATCCATTTTGTTATTTCTGTCGACCTATATTTACTTGTCAGCAGAATAGAAGGTTAAACTGCCTGATATTCAGAATCTCAGTGTTAATGTGGGAGCGGATAGGGCTAGCTATAGTGAATTATCTCTGACTCTGTCAGTTACTAAATCTGAGAAGTACTTTAGTCCATTTTTCTCCAGGTGAAAGGCCAAGCTCTCCCTTCTTTTACTCATTTATTTTGAATAGATGACACATATTTCCAACTGTATAAAAGGGCTTAAAGTTAAAAATAAAAGTCCCCTATACTGTTCCTATGCAGATATAACCCTGTTGTAAGTGTGTGTTTTCTTCCACAATTACCGTGTGTATCTATTATAAGCACATGAGTAAATACTGCTTTCTTAAACACAAGTGTTCACTTTTACAGTCTATAACTGGCTTTTGTCTATTTGAAATATATTTCAGAATTTGTTCCATGTCAGCACACGTAGCTCTTCACTCAGTGCTGCCTTGGAGAACTTTCTGTGATGGTGGGACTGCTACATAGCTGCACTGTCCTGTGTGGTAACTACTAGCCAGGGGTAGCTACTTAGCGCTTGAAATGCAGTTAGTGCAACGAGAAACTGAATTTTATGTTTAATTTTCATTTAATGTAATTTAAATAACAACATGTAGCTGGTGTGTACCATATTGCACAGCATAAGAAACTCCTACTTGTACATTTGTTTTCCCTAGTGACCTCAGCCCGAAGTGATTGGGACAGGGCAAGACCTGCTTCAGAAAATACTATTTCAAGCCTGACTGTTAGTTTTTGTTCTGTGACTTTACCTTTCCAGGTTGTATTCCCAGTGTGCCTGCCTCATCTTCCTATCGTGGCACATGTCAGTGGGCTGTGGTACTCTTTATGTAATAAGCCTGTGAGGAATCTGGAGGTCGTCTGAGCCGTTCCCCCACCTGGCCTCCATTGCTACTTTTCAGCCCATGATGGCTTGCTGATTGTGTAAAGACTTCACACACTACTTTGGTAGCAATACTCCACCTTCTCTTGGGTCTTCCTGCTGCCATAAACCCTTGTGATTAGTGGCATCTCCTCCCCCCGAGATTCAGAACTAATCATCTCACCTGGTGAGAAAGCCAGGGCTCCAAGCCACACCTATGTTTTCCCCAGACTGTCCTTAGGCTTCCACATTCCTTAAATGCCTGTAAAACCCTTAACATAAAACCTGACACAGAGAATTCAATAAATGGTGGTAGTAATTATTTACTTATTCTCAGAATTAACTGAGAACTCCCTGATCTGTATTTTCAGTCCTTACCCCTCCCTTGAACCTCACATTCTTGTATGTAATTACTATTGAATTCATTATGTTCTCCAAACCTGATGTGTTTTCTGTATCCTTGACATAGCTGGTATCACCACCATTTATTCAACCACTCAAACCAGAAATCTAGGGTCATCCTTGAAGATCTTTACAACTCCCCACTACCTGCTGGTCACTGATGTCTCATTTACCTATACATTCACTTTTTATTTCTTTAGTCTGTCTCTTACTTATTCCCAAGACCATTCTGGCAGTGGTCACCCTCCTGCCTTCCTGCAGTCTTAGACCCCTAAATCTATTTTCTGTTGCAAGGTGAAGTACCCCAATTTACTACCCTGTGTTTAAAGCCTTTTAGGGTCTCACATTGCCTACAGGATGAGAGCCAGGCCTTAGCAGAGCATATAAGGTTCTCCTAAGCTGGTCCCCTCCCTCTGTGTTCCAGCAGCTGCAGGTGGCTTTTCATTCCTGGACTCTCCCTCTATGGAACATCTCTTTCTTTTTCTGTTTGACTAATTTATGCTTATCCATCTTGATTCAGCTCAGGCATCACCCCTTTTAGGAGGCTGTGGATTTGAAAGATACAGGGAATCTGTTCACCAGTAGACTACCGTATTACAGAATGGGACTGTAGGTCACTAGCAGAGACCATAGAGGTCTTCCAACTGAATATATACTCTTTCTTACAAACTTGATCGTTAAAAGAAAGAGATTTGAGGTTGGATCCTAAGTCTTCCAATAGTGCCAAAGTTAGTACCAAGTGCAGCATGCTTTCTGTTATGCCCTACTACTAAGTCCAGCCCCCAGGGAGCTCTGTTAGGGAACACATGGTAGAAGTTCATGTTTGGAGGGACTGAGATGTGGGAAGCCACAGTGATAGCTTGGGATCTGTGCAGGGAATTTCTGACCCTTATGATCGTTTGGCTTCATATCCTGGAAAGAGGAAACATCTAGGCTGTAGTACACATGCCAGAATATGCGTGTATACGAGTGGTGCAGGTAGGGAGGAGTATGTGTAGGTGTGTGCAGGTAGGGAGGAGACTGCGGCTTTGAGATTGAAGAGGGAGGCATTGGATGGCTTGTGCCCTATTCCTAAACACCTGGCTCCTTTCTTGGCACTGATACCTAGGTACCTCTGGTGTTATCTCTTGGCATCCGCTTCAGAGGCCAGTCTTAGAGGACAGCCCAAACAGGCCTTTACCATGCTGGTCTCTGTAGTACCGAAGGGACAACCAAAATATGTCTATATTTTTCCCAACTTTCATGATAACAGAAAGACTTTGTTACACCAGTAACATAGTTAATTCTCAGGTTCCTGGGAATGGCTGTGCATTAGTCTAGCACACTAACTTGATTTCATCTCGTGCCAGTACTGATGCTGAACTGTTTGTTTTTCTAAACAGGAGTCCCAGCTAGTAGCTGGTGTTGCATTCAAGAAGACTTTCTCTTATGCTGGGTTTGAAATGCAGCCCAAAAAATACAATAATCCACTGATTGCCCTTTTAAATGTGGAGCTTGAGCTGAAAGCTGAGAAAGACAATGCTGAAATCAGAGTTCACACAGTCGAGGTAGGCCCCTCTTAACTGGCGGTGGTGTGGAAGTGGGCGGCTTTCTGGGCCATAGTCTTGGGTCTTTCTGGCTGTCTTGGTTCCAGCTCTGTTTCTCAGGCTCTTTATTGGCCTTTTTCTCCTCCTGTACTCATAAATCTTAAGCATTGATGTCGAAATAGAAGGCTCTCTTTTTTTCTCACTCCATACTCTCTGAGGAACCTGGCCCTCTGGGCCTGAGGAGGCTTGAGTCGGGCAGGCCTGCTGAGAGGTTCTCCTCTGGCCCTGGGCCAGGGCTGCCCCAGACTCTCTGGCTTTGCAGCAAGCCCAGGATTTGGGTTCCTCTTCCCTGGCAGAGGTGGGCTCCTCCCTTTCTAGACGGCCTCCCAGGCTGCAGGGGCAGGAGTGCCCATCATTACGAAGGCCATCTCTGGAGGTAGCACCCAGCTCCGAGGTGATCTTGAGAAATGTGGCCCTGATGCAGAAGGGCCTTTGGGGGAAGGGGTCTTGTCAGTGGGAGCTCCATGGGTGCAGCGCCTCAAGAGGAGGCAAGAATTCAGCCAGGCCAAACTGTTTCTTACACCGTGGCAATTCCAGCTCTGGAGGAGCTCGCAGTTGTGGGGCTACTTGATGTTTTTGTGTTTGAAAGTTTTAGGTCGTTCCTAAATTGTCTTGTGTCCTTGTTTACTTGGACTGAGGAGAGGCTATTGTGTTTACCCGTTATTAGTTCCCAAAGAAATCAGCATATTTGGGGGAATGGTATATTTTAGCCCACTACATACGCTAACCTGCACCCCAGAGCATCCTGATCCTTTTTGGGGTCTTTTCAGGATTATCAGGCAATTGTTGATGCAGAGTGGAACATTCTCTATGACAAGTTAGAGAAGATCTATCACTCTGGAGCCAAAGTTATCTTGTCCAAACTCCCCATTGGGGATGTGGCGACCCAGTACTTTGCTGACAGGGACATGTTCTGTGCTGGCCGCGTGCTGGAAGAGGATCTGAAGAGGACGATGATGGTAAGCAAACCTGAACAGACGGCCGCTTGGCCTTTGTGGCCCTGTAAGGTTAGCCCTGAGGTACTGGAGTGCGATCTAGGCCTGCCTGCGTCACCTTTTTCATGAAGCACACCAATCCCAGTGTATGTGAGGTCTGTACAAGTTAGTCTAACCAGAACTAGTCAGAAAATCTGATTTGTGCAGGAACCTAGCAGTAGTGCTGTGATGAACTGGATAAGCCCAAGTAATGACACTTCCAGCCAGGTTTCTTCCCTCTCTAATAAAGCATCTTACCAGATCCACTTCAGGTCTAAACCATTGATCCTAAGACCCTAGTTGGGGGAGGGGGTATCAGAGCAAAGCATTGGGTCCCTGTCTCCTTTTAACTAGGCCTGTTTGCCCTGCATGTGTCTTATCTTTGCTTTGTTTTCTCCCCTCCCAGAGGGGGTAGGGGTTGCCTGGAGGTCACCGATGAGAGTGGATTACTCAGTGCAGAGGGCTCAGAGACACTGAGGCAGAGTCCAGCATGGGAACTGGATTTGAAAGTGGGTGGTGGGAAGCTGTCTTCTGGCCTTTCTGAGCCTTCACTGCTGACTTTCTTGCCGCCTTCTGCTTCTCAGGCCTGTGGAGGCTCCATCCAGACCAGTGTGAATGCTCTGTCGGCAGATGTGCTGGGTCACTGCCAGGACTTTGAGGAGACCCAGATTGGAGGCGAGAGGTGAGCTGCCTATTTGAGGAGTTTATGAGACCTGCCTGGGACTGGCCTGCTGCTGTCATCAATGTGTTATATAGCATATGCTACCCCTTGTGGAGGTCTCATTTTGTGGGGTATAGGGAGCTCAGATATAGAGTATTTCAGTAGGGAAGAGTGTCAAGTTGGGTCTAGAGCACAGCAGAAGTCCACAATGTGTTGTGCTGTGCAGGTAGGGAGGAGTATGTGTAGGTGTGTGCAGGTAGGGAGGAGACTGCGGCTTTGAGATTGAAGAGGGAGGCATTGGATGGCTTGTGCCCTATTCCTAAACACCTGGCTCCTTTCTTGGCACTGATACCTAGGTACCTCTGGTGTTATCTCTTGGCATCCGCTTCAGAGGCCAGTCTTAGAGGACAGCCCAAACAGGCCTTTACCATGCTGGTCTCTGTAGTACCGAAGGGACAACCAAAATATGTCTATATTTTTCCCAACTTTCATGATAACAGAAAGACTTTGTTACACCAGTAACATAGTTAATTCTCAGGTTCCTGGGAATGGCTGTGCATTAGTCTAGCACACTAACTTGATTTCATCTCGTGCCAGTACTGATGCTGAACTGTTTGTTTTTCTAAACAGGAGTCCCAGCTAGTAGCTGGTGTTGCATTCAAGAAGACTTTCTCTTATGCTGGGTTTGAAATGCAGCCCAAAAAATACAATAATCCACTGATTGCCCTTTTAAATGTGGAGCTTGAGCTGAAAGCTGAGAAAGACAATGCTGAAATCAGAGTTCACACAGTCGAGGTAGGCCCCTCTTAACTGGCGGTGGTGTGGAAGTGGGCGGCTTTCTGGGCCATAGTCTTGGGTCTTTCTGGCTGTCTTGGTTCCAGCTCTGTTTCTCAGGCTCTTTATTGGCCTTTTTCTCCTCCTGTACTCATAAATCTTAAGCATTGATGTCGAAATAGAAGGCTCTCTTTTTTTCTCACTCCATACTCTCTGAGGAACCTGGCCCTCTGGGCCTGAGGAGGCTTGAGTCGGGCAGGCCTGCTGAGAGGTTCTCCTCTGGCCCTGGGCCAGGGCTGCCCCAGACTCTCTGGCTTTGCAGCAAGCCCAGGATTTGGGTTCCTCTTCCCTGGCAGAGGTGGGCTCCTCCCTTTCTAGACGGCCTCCCAGGCTGCAGGGGCAGGAGTGCCCATCATTACGAAGGCCATCTCTGGAGGTAGCACCCAGCTCCGAGGTGATCTTGAGAAATGTGGCCCTGATGCAGAAGGGCCTTTGGGGGAAGGGGTCTTGTCAGTGGGAGCTCCATGGGTGCAGCGCCTCAAGAGGAGGCAAGAATTCAGCCAGGCCAAACTGTTTCTTACACCGTGGCAATTCCAGCTCTGGAGGAGCTCGCAGTTGTGGGGCTACTTGATGTTTTTGTGTTTGAAAGTTTTAGGTCGTTCCTAAATTGTCTTGTGTCCTTGTTTACTTGGACTGAGGAGAGGCTATTGTGTTTACCCGTTATTAGTTCCCAAAGAAATCAGCATATTTGGGGGAATGGTATATTTTAGCCCACTACATACGCTAACCTGCACCCCAGAGCATCCTGATCCTTTTTGGGGTCTTTTCAGGATTATCAGGCAATTGTTGATGCAGAGTGGAACATTCTCTATGACAAGTTAGAGAAGATCTATCACTCTGGAGCCAAAGTTATCTTGTCCAAACTCCCCATTGGGGATGTGGCGACCCAGTACTTTGCTGACAGGGACATGTTCTGTGCTGGCCGCGTGCTGGAAGAGGATCTGAAGAGGACGATGATGGTAAGCAAACCTGAACAGACGGCCGCTTGGCCTTTGTGGCCCTGTAAGGTTAGCCCTGAGGTACTGGAGTGCGATCTAGGCCTGCCTGCGTCACCTTTTTCATGAAGCACACCAATCCCAGTGTATGTGAGGTCTGTACAAGTTAGTCTAACCAGAACTAGTCAGAAAATCTGATTTGTGCAGGAACCTAGCAGTAGTGCTGTGATGAACTGGATAAGCCCAAGTAATGACACTTCCAGCCAGGTTTCTTCCCTCTCTAATAAAGCATCTTACCAGATCCACTTCAGGTCTAAACCATTGATCCTAAGACCCTAGTTGGGGGAGGGGGTATCAGAGCAAAGCATTGGGTCCCTGTCTCCTTTTAACTAGGCCTGTTTGCCCTGCATGTGTCTTATCTTTGCTTTGTTTTCTCCCCTCCCAGAGGGGGTAGGGGTTGCCTGGAGGTCACCGATGAGAGTGGATTACTCAGTGCAGAGGGCTCAGAGACACTGAGGCAGAGTCCAGCATGGGAACTGGATTTGAAAGTGGGTGGTGGGAAGCTGTCTTCTGGCCTTTCTGAGCCTTCACTGCTGACTTTCTTGCCGCCTTCTGCTTCTCAGGCCTGTGGAGGCTCCATCCAGACCAGTGTGAATGCTCTGTCGGCAGATGTGCTGGGTCACTGCCAGGACTTTGAGGAGACCCAGATTGGAGGCGAGAGGTGAGCTGCCTATTTGAGGAGTTTATGAGACCTGCCTGGGACTGGCCTGCTGCTGTCATCAATGTGTTATATAGCATATGCTACCCCTTGTGGAGGTCTCATTTTGTGGGGTATAGGGAGCTCAGATATAGAGTATTTCAGTAGGGAAGAGTGTCAAGTTGGGTCTAGAGCACAGCAGAAGTCCACAATGTGTTGTGCCCCAGTGGTACAGCCCCAGACCTTCCCAACAACATGTCTCTAAGGGTAGGATTAGAGAATCTTCATGAGGAACAGAAGAGCAACTGCTGAGCATTGGGAGGACTTGGTGAGGTCAGAACGTAGCAGGTTGGCAGCAGAAAGGAGTTCACGTGTTTGTTTTGACTGGGTGTAGGTACAATTTCTTCACTGGCTGCCCCAAGGCGAAGACTTGCACTATCATCCTCCGGGGTGGTGCTCAGCAGTTCATGGAGGAGACAGAGCGGTCCCTGCATGATGCCATCATGATTGTCAGGAGGGCCATCAAGGTACTCGGGACTTGGGACTTCTGCCTTTCATAGCCCCTCTACTGCCCAAGCTGACGAGACCCTGGATTTGTGTGGTGATTCCTTCCCTATATGCCCTGTTCTTCCCTGAGTGGTGTGTGGGCCCTGGTTGGCCTCACAAATCATAGAGCCTTAGCCTCCTGAAATAGGTTATGCTGTCTTAAAGGCTAAGACTGGTTCTTATGAGCAAATTCTGCAGCTGGAGTAGTCAGCCATCCCAGGGATAGCGCCAATGCCCTCGAGCTATATGTGACCGTGAAGATGGTCGGAACCAAAAGGTTCACCAGATTAAAGTTGGGATGTGCCAGACAAGAGCCATGTCAGGGCTTCCTGGGCCTTGGGATGGGGGATGGAATGAAGAGCCACTCTCTGGGCTGGAAAGCCTGTTGACTGAGTGGCCCAACTTGGCCATGGCTGGAGCTTGGACCAGGGGCCTCCTTACATTGAGAGGTGGGTCTGGTCTTTGCAGAATGACTCAGTAGTAGCTGGTGGTGGGGCCATCGAGATGGAGCTCTCCAAGTACCTGCGGGATTACTCAAGGACCATTCCAGGAAAACAGCAGCTGTTGATTGGGGCATATGCCAAGGCCTTGGAAATTATCCCACGCCAGCTATGTGACAATGCTGGCTTTGATGCCACAAACATCCTCAACAAGTTGCGGGCTCGGCATGCCCAGGTGGGTCCTTATTCTCGTCGGGGTCTAGGAATTGGGTGGACGGGGCTAGGTTCTGAGTGCACGCCGTGTTTTTGCAAGCTCTACCCGCTTGGCCCGGGTGACGGCCGGAACCAAACCCCGTACTAAACTGCTTCCTTAGAGAGCAGAGGGGAAGCCACAGTGCCAAGACAGGAGGTTCCAGGATTTCTTCAGTGCTTCTCCCAAGAGTATGGTTACTCCTCATGGTGCAGTGGGAGGAACCGGGGGAGCCCTGTGGCCTCCTGCCTGGCAGCACACACAGACCACAGTACCAGCTTTCCCAGTGTGGCAGTGAAGCACTCCACAACCCTGCTGAGGCACCATCCCTCCTTGGCTTTACCATCTCCAAGTTGTTACCTGAGAACCTAATTTGTTCATTTGCTATTTAGCAAATACTTGGTTAGAGATACTTGTTAAGGGCTCAGTACTGTGACAGGAGCACTAAACAGGTGGCTTGCTTCTGACTTGTGTTTGGGCTTACACCACCACTTTCCCTGCCCGTGTCTCAGTTTTCTCATCGGTAAAATGGGGACTAACAGAAGCAGTGAGATAAAATGAGATAAGGGACTGGAAAGTGTTCCTCTTAAGAATTGTTGCTTGATAAACAGAGTCCTTGGGCCATCTCAAAAGAGCAGCTTGCGTGGAAGCGGGCTCAGAGCTCTTATGTGATCATGTCCAGAATGGATGAGGGTGGTTGGCGAGGGCAGCGGTGGGAAGAGGGCCGCTTCCAGCGTTGTAGTTTGATGCCGCAGGCAGGTGCTGTCTTCCTCAGGGAGGTGCTGGCCAGTTCCAAGTTGGGATTTCTAGTAGGTCTTCAGAAGGGCATGCAAGAAGAAATTGAGAATGGTTCCCTATCACCTTTCTCTCCCTGCTTTCAGGGGGGAACGTGGTACGGAGTGGACATCAACAATGAGGACATTGCTGACAACTTCGAGGCCTTTGTGTGGGAGCCAGCTATGGTGCGGATCAATGCCCTGATCGCAGCCTCTGAGGCCGCGTGCCTTATTGTGTCCATCGATGAAACAATCAAGAACCCTCGCTCGACAGTGGATGTGCCCGCAGCTGCTGGCCGGGGCAGAGATCGAGGCCGCCTGCATTGAGAGGCATCCCACTGCTCACACAGGTGGCCGGCAAGCTGGCTGCAGGATGTGCTTATTTTCTGTCTTGGTTAATCGGTATCACAAGGAAGGGGTAGTAATTGGCCCACTGTGTTCTTACTGGAGGTTATTTAAATAAAATTTAAGACTTGGAATTCACTTGGCAAATTATTTAGGCACAGGAATTTTACCCATACCTGCCTTAATGGTGGCTCAGGGCTTTAGTGTTGTGTGTACTCACCCAGTAGGTAGAAAAAACCATCTTCCCTCCTATCAGGAGCCTGTGATGAGGCTCCTGAGTTCTCATCAGCCTATGGCTGGTAAGGTAGAACGTGGGTTGCTCCATCTCAGTGGCCCTTGTCCAGAAGTCTTGCTTTGGTTGCTTCTTAGTCCCAGAAGTGGCTGGGAGATGAGTTGCTGCCCTTCTGACATCACCTTCCTCAGCCCTAGCCCAACTGGGCACTGACCCCAGACTTTCTCTGGATTTGAGTAAATGTAGTACATGACCTGTGTGCCCGTTTTGCCCACATACTCTTTTGGTCCCTCTTACTCAAGATCTGGAGGTTGAGGGCTCTGTTTTAGAGAAGCCACATCCTCTCAACTTAGACTTCCTGGAAGCCCACCAAGGAAGTGGCTGAAGGAGCACTAACCTGATTTCAGTTTTGGGGTTCCTTTCCTTGTCTGAACAGTGGAAGTGTGGACTGACTGGCACAGATAGCCTGGGAATCAGCAGGGTCTAAACTGCCTCGTTTATGCTAGAGCTGGCCTGCAGTTAGCTATGGTTAATAATTGTTGAAACTAGAAATGAATAAAGCTGTCACCTTGAGCCATTAAAGCTTTTGTTGCCTGAAACTGGAAAGTGATTGTTAAAAATCTGCATCTGATTACTCCTGGTTGGAAAGATCCCAAAGCAGAATTGGGTGATGGACAGGTGCAGGCTTTGGAGTCTGGTGGTCCATGTAACTTGATGGTCTTTGAGTAAACTAACTGTTCTGAGCCTCAGCTGTTCTCCCTGTCCAGTGAAGGTAAGACTAGCTGGCTTAGAGCTGTGGAGAAATGCTCATTTACTTGTTTGATGCTAGGGCCATGCATTGTTTAAGGCTGAATACCTGATCTTTTTTCTGACTTTTAAGTATTTTAAGACTTGAGTAATCAAAGCATGGATCAACCCTATTTTGTAAAATAAGGAGGAAGTTGGTGCCCAGATTGTGGTGGGCAAGTTGGTCTCCCCAAGGCCTGAGCCTGACCGGCTGGCCAGCCACATAAGCAGGTGACCGAGCCAGTGAGGGACTCAGCAGGGCCTGCTGCTCCTGCTCTACTTGTGCAAGGGCTGCCCTTGAAGATGGCCTTACCTGGCTGGGAGTCAGAAATTAGACCACAGGCTTCCTGTCCACATGCAGATACTGATGGGGCAAGTGAGCTAGGGCAGAGCCAGTAACCCACATGGCCTGCCTCCATCCATGCCTGTAGTTCCGAGACATGTCTTCCTCATCCTTCACTTCCCATGCTGACACCATGCAGGTCACCCACCTCCTGCCCACCTCAGTGCATTAGAGCTACAGAAAAGCTTGGTGATACAGAGTTGCAGATGTGGCCACCTACATTTACTTCCCTGACACGAGTATTCCAGTTTCACCATCTTTTATTGGATACAAAGTCATAAATTCTCTGATGCCCATGTGAGTCCTTTTAAATACATATGCTCAGGTACATTCAGCAAAGGGCATCTAAGGGTGATGTGGAGCAAAGTGCTGGGATGGTGATGCCTGGGTCGGGGCAAAGAAGTGGGGCCAGGGAAGGCCCCCTGGGGGCTGGAGGTACAGGCACCACTTCAGAAACAAAACCAAAAAAATGCTCTCCACCGCTCTGCCTGATGTGCATGAGGTGGGGGAAGCTACCCTCTCATAGCTCAGGCCCATTGCAGCCAGGCTGCGTGGGGAAGGCAGGGCCTGGGGGCCAGTTGTGGAGGACCCCACCACTAGTGCTCACTAGAACCAAGCCTACTAGCCCCAGTCACAAAGCAAGCCTAGGTCACCTCAGGCCTCTGCACCTGAATGCAAGACCCCAGCCAGGGCAGAGGTGAGGCTGGAGAGCCCAAGGCCAAGCCTCTCTAGGGCCATGCCAGTGGTGGCGGGCGAGTGAGGCTTGGACTCATGGTGGGGAGCCTGCCTGATTGTCAGGGCCACCTTGGGACTGGCCAGGCTCCCAAGGGGTTGGGGAAGGAATAGGAGCTGGTTGCCTTAGTTGGCCCTGGTATTCTGATCTTCACCCAATCCTAAATATCCTCAGGCAAGGGCTGCAGATAAACACTTGTCCAGGAATAAATACATACACACGATACACAGCAATATATACAGAAATGCAGGCCTGGGACAAGGCTGGGTGAGAAAGTGAGGCCACCAGGAGTAAAGAGAAGTGCCAGGCCCCTGGGGGAGGGAAGTGACACTTGTCAGGGACTAACAGGCTGGGACAGATGCCATGAGTTTAACTCCTCTGGGTACCTGGGCCCTGTACCCTCACCTGTTTTCACCCCAAGTCCACAGGAATTGGATCTTTGGCACCAATAGTCTGGGAAAGTCTTCAACTTAGCGCCTTAGAGAGCTTGGGGTTGGGTAGCTCCCCAACTGTAACCCAAAGAAGTAGAGGCCAGAATGAGGGGAACACACAAGACCCAAATGCAAGGGATGTAGTCAAACCTTGGAGCATCAAGCCTTGGGAAGGAGGCAGCTTTTTTTGTTTTTTGAAGCAATTCCTGAGGGAGGGGTTGGCCCAAACTCCACTCTCATGAGATAAGAGAACTAGTGAGGCTTGGACTCATGGTGGGGAGCCTGCCTGATTGTCAGGGCCACCTTGGGACTGGCCAGGCTCCCAAGGGGTTGGGGAAGGAATAGGAGCTGGTTGCCTTAGTTGGCCCTGGTATTCTGATCTTCACCCAATCCTAAATATCCTCAGGCAAGGGCTGCAGATAAACACTTGTCCAGGAATAAATACATACACACGATACACAGCAATATATACAGAAATGCAGGCCTGGGACAAGGCTGGGTGAGAAAGTGAGGCCACCAGGAGTAAAGAGAAGTGCCAGGCCCCTGGGGGAGGGAAGTGACACTTGTCAGGGACTAACAGGCTGGGACAGATGCCATGAGTTTAACTCCTCTGGGTACCTGGGCCCTGTACCCTCACCTGTTTTCACCCCAAGTCCACAGGAATTGGATCTTTGGCACCAATAGTCTGGGAAAGTCTTCAACTTAGCGCCTTAGAGAGCTTGGGGTTGGGTAGCTCCCCAACTGTAACCCAAAGAAGTAGAGGCCAGAATGAGGGGAACACACAAGACCCAAATGCAAGGGATGTAGTCAAACCTTGGAGCATCAAGCCTTGGGAAGGAGGCAGCTTTTTTTGTTTTTTGAAGCAATTCCTGAGGGAGGGGTTGGCCCAAACTCCACTCTCATGAGATAAGAGAACATGAGCTGCCTCGGTCCTTAGGTGGTCTCTCCTAACCAGTAGAAAGCCGTGGTTCTGGGCAGCCCACTCCCTCTCTGGGGATCCAGATGTACATAGCATCTCCTTTGTTCTCTGCCAGTGCTGTGGGGAGGCAGTCTGAATAAAGCCTGATGAAGTACTCAAGCCAAGTAAACCAAGCCTCTGGGTGCTGGGACCCAGCTGTACAGCAGGTGGGGGACAGCAGTGACAAGAGGCCACCGCCTATGGGAGCAGTCCTGCCTTGGTTTGCGGTCTCAGATACTCTTCTTTGCACCTTACTGGGTGTGAGATGTGGAGGAGGGCTCCTTTGGGTGAGTGAAGGGTTCGGCACTGCAGGGATAGCCAGGCCTGCCATCTCCGTATCGCATCTTCAGCCCTAGCTGTGTGGTTATCAGGAAAGTGGATAAAGTATCCCAGCAAATAAAAGCTCCTCACTCCGTGGCAAGGCTTATGCCCCTGAGAAGCAACAAATAGCATTGAGCTGCTGGCAGGGTGCCTGCAAACCCACCGCTTCCCAGGGCATGCATGAAGGCTTGTGCGCACACGTCTGTCAGCCCTGGGGCCAGGTGTGCAATGAGACACCCAGCGTTCCTGTTGGCAGGGCCTTGGGCCTGTATAGAATGCACTCCACACATCCTTCACATACTTAGATGGAAAATTTAGAGCGGGGCACCTGGGGGTTTCTTGGCAAAAGCCAATCCTGTGAGAGGCAAATTTCCCACCAGCAGGAGAAAGGGGTCCTGTTCCCTCTTGTGTCCCCTGGGCTGATGGTGCTCAGCACGGCTGCATTCATGAATGAATGAATGACCTTACCCATACAACTAGTCTTTTACCACCACCTTTCTCCCACTGTAGCTACCTGCCTGTGCACCCTGACCTCCTTTGCCAGGACTGATGCCAGGCACTCCAGTGACACTCACCAAGGGAGGAACTGCCTGGAGCCTTGCCCTCAGGGCTGGAGGCTTCCTGGGGCAGAGAAAGTCCCTCAGTAGGGCAAGCTCAGGCCTGGCAGGGCATCCCTTTGTGCTTTGTCCAGGAGACAGAAAGGGCAGTGCCTCTGGTCCTGGGGTTGCGGGGAGCAGGGGCTACAGAGAGTGCAGTTGGCAGACAGGACAGACACATAAAGGATGGCCAGGTCTTGACTGGCCCTCCACCTCCATTGCAGGCCCCTGGAGTTCGGGGAAAAGTTGTGCTTCTCCTTCCCATGACTCTTGGGGACAGGGCCAGGGAGGTGGGAGCCAGTGGAGCGAGTTGCTCTGGGGTGGGGAATGCCACACAGCCAAGGCTTCATGCAGGACTGGACAGGGAGTTGCCACCATGACACCCTTGCTATCTGGGGTCTTCAAAGACCAGGGCCAGTAGAAGCCACAGAAGCAAAAGTCATCAACTATGAAAAGCTGGGACACAGCTGGGGGCACTGCTGAGCCTGTGGGGCCCCAGCTCTGGAGGACTTATTGCGGGACTGGGTCTTGATGTCCAAGCCAGGTTGTGGCAGGAAGTTGGGTCCCTGGAAAGTACTGAGAAGCTAGAGATGCCCAGTCCCTACCATGACCAGCAGCCTAATGGTTAGGGCAGAGATCTGGTCCTGTACAGGAGAGAAGGAAGCCCTAAAGTGGATCTAGGTTATGGTTGTTGAATCTTTGAAATGAAGTTTGGCAGGACCCATGGCCTCTGCACCATTGTGAGAGTCGTGAGAGGAGGAACTGGTGAGACCTGAGTCTTTGGAGCCTTGGTGCTGGGACCTGGTCCTGTGGGAACCATATCAGAGTTACTGAAAATCCCCCATTTGCATCTGTGGTTTTTAGGCCAAGTGGCTCTGGCTCAGACCCCAGCAACACCCCCAAGAGACAAGACCCCAACACAGTCCTCAGCCAGCAGAGACAGGGGAGAGGGGTGAGTGTGGTGAGGGTGCTCTTCCTGGCTCTTGGCCACATGAATTTCGCTCCCTACCAAGGCCACATCGTCAAGCAAGCTGGTTGGACAAGGGAGCAAAGCCAACCACTCTCGTCCTGGCCTCCTCCAGGCCCCAACCCAGAGGGCAGCCCCATAACTCCCTCCCACAGTCTTAGACCCAAAGGCCATCAGATTCCTGCCCAAGCACTGGATTAGGATGACACTCCTTGAGGACAGAACTGCTCCTCACCATGGCAGTCTCGCAGAGCTGGCACCTGTTCCCTGAGGAAGCTCAGAGTGGCCGAGAAGTACAGAAACACGTACCTTTGAGCTGAGCCAGTTCGGGGGGTCACCAGGTGGCATGGGATATGTGCTGGATGGGAAGAGGAGTCTTCTCTTTCCTATAGCAGTAAGAACTCTAAGTGTCTCTACCTGGCAATTTCCCCCTTTAGAAGGGGTGGTCTCAATATTCTGTGGAGAGGTTCTGGAATAATATTTTGCTGTTCCAAGCTCACTCCCATTACCTCACCGCACCCTGCCCCCCTACTTTTGGGCCCCTAGGGTGTTGTCCCTGGAGAATGTGGACCCAAGCCTAGGCGGGCTGTCTGAAGGAGTTGCCCTGCAGAGGGGTGGGACAGAGGAAGGAGAAGGGCCCTCCTTTCCAACTCTGAGCTGCCTTGTGGAGCCCCCTCTGGTCGGGGGCCTAGCAGAGGCCCCTGAATGGAAGGCTGGGCCTCAGGAAGTGGAAGCCTCCCCTGCAGCCTGAGTAGCTGAGGAGCCACTGGGTGGTTATTGCAGATCCTTGGGACAATGACACCAGGTGCTGCTGGTAGTGACTCAGCTCTTCGCTGGCTGTGCTCAGAAGGCTGCTCCAACTGGGGGTGGGGTAGGGGCTAGAGGGCAGCTTCTGTCTGAGCCCCTGCCATGGAGAGGCAGTGCCCAGGATCAGGCTTGTTGTTCCACTGTCCCAGGAGGTGGACAGGAGACTGTCCTCCCCTCCCTGGAAGCCAGGAATAATACTAGGCCTCCAAAGGTCCATTCCAAATCAAGGTCCCTCTGGAGATCCAAAGAGAGTGCCCTGGTGTGGGGCTGGCAGAGGCCCTGCCGCCCCCAACCCGGGTTAGCAGCTGCCTTCCACCTTGATGTGCAGGATCTTAGAGAAGCCGGGCCTCCGTCGTAGGGCCTGCAGACCAAACCCTGGGTTAGTTCCCCTCAGGGCCAAACAGGTGGGGCCCTCCCTTCATATACCCATGTCACCAGCCCCAGCCTAGGGATGCCACTTGGGGTCATGGTGGCTGGCCTCAGAGCCAATTCCTCACCTGGAGTTTTGTCACCATGTCCTCGAACAGCTTCTGGGCCTCAGGACTGTTGGGCTCTTTGAAATAATCAGCAATCCCAATCTGGACCACAATGGACTTGAGGTTCCGGCAAATGCCTGGGAAGAGGTGGGTGAAGTGGGGGCCCATGTTTGGCCTGGGCAATGGGGCTGCTTCCTCTCCTCTCCCTAATTAAATGAGAACCCTACTGAGAGATGATCGTGGGCCAGGCAATGGGAACACAGAACAGCAGACCCATGATGCCCAGGGGTTCAGCTGGACAAGGGAGAAGGTGGACAGTCAGGCTGAAGAGCAGAGGCCGCAGCGGACTCTGGAAGGATGAGTGGGCAACAGCCAATTGTGTAGGGGCTCTAGAAACTTCCCCTACAGAGGACACAGTTGTGCTATGGCCTGGGGATTTGGAAATGAATTACATGGACAGAGCAGCTGAGGGAGCATGGTGAAGGGGAGATAGGAGCAACAAAGTTGAGAACAGAAGGCTTGAGGGCCTGGATGTTGCCATGAAGTCAAGGGAGGAGGGGCAAGGTCAGGAGGCTGAGCGGTTAGTTGTGGTGGTCAGTCGGGATGAGACCATGAGGCGGAAGGGGAAGGAAGAAAAGGATCTGGAAATAATAATCCAAGGTCAAGGAACCATCAGTCCTCAGCACATGGTGTCCTGCCAGGGGCCAAATGGTCCTGGATGATGGTTTCACTGGGCTTGAGCAGCCTGAGCTGGGCACCCATGTCCTCAATGGGTGACACTGGAGGAATGGCTGGGAATGGAGTGGGTGGTTGGAGAGAGGTGGGGCCAGACGAGGCACGTTAAGAGTCTACACCAGCAAGAGAGGAGTCTACACTGAGAACTGTCCTCTGGGGACTCACATACATCTCATTTAATCCTTCCACCCATTCTAGAAAGTCAGCTTAGAAGATGGGGATACAGAACTCAGTACAGTAGTACTGAGTACAGAAGTACAGTACCTTGCCCAAAGTCACCCAGCTAATAAAGCAACAGAGTCCAAATCAAGGCCTAGGTCGGTCCAGCTCCAGGACCTATGCTCATAACCTGCCTATTCTTCTGCTTATGCCCTTGGCTGGAGGCTCATGTTGGGGCAGATGGTGCTGCACAGCTCAGGTCTCCATGGGTGGAGCACAGGGCAAGAAATGTCTGTAGAACTGAGCCATTTGGACCAGATGCTGACAGACCTTACATGCCATGCTGGCTTCAGAAGGCACTGTTAGCAAAGCGAGGACTAGAACCCTGGTCCGTGTGACCCCAGGGCTTGTGCTGCTGTCTAGGAGCGAGAGGGAACTAGTTACAAGCATGGTAAAAGGTGACAGTGCATTCCCACCCTGCATTCCCCATCGCTCACTGTTGAAATGCAGCAGGGCCTTGGGGGTGACAGGGGTGGCTGTGAGCACCAACATTTCCAGTCCCTTCAGGCCTTCCCGGCAAACCTCAGCGGCCACCTCCTGGGTGATCTCCGACACATGGTCCAGCTCTAGGACCTGCAGCCGCATGCAGTTTCTCGCTGAGAAGGAGGTAGAGGGGAGATTCTGCTGACAAACTCCCTGGGTCACCTTGTGCCCAGCTCCTGCCCTGGATGGAGCACCTGCCACCAGTCAGGCTGCAGCCCTGAGCCCTCTGGGATAGAAGTGCCACACCCATGCCTGTTTCCCCCCACACTACTCTTGAGCCCAGGAAAGACTCACCAAGTGATGCCAGGCCCTGAACCCCACAGCCAGCACCCCCAACCCCTAGGGCTCGGAGGTGGGGCCAACAGCGACCGATCATCTGCAGGCAGCGGTTACTGAAGCGCATGGGCTGCTGGCTAGAGAATGGGGTGGAGGGAAGGTGGTCAGGGAAGCCTCTGGTGGCATGACAGCCCAAGACTGCTTCTCCTCCAGGCGCCCCCCCCACCTCTCCGGCAAAGGGCCCCACCGACCACCTAACAACTCATCAGAACTGTGGGATCATCCCTGACTCCCTCTCTGTCACCTCCTGCCAAGACCTGCAGATTCTGATTCTTGAATGCCTCTTCAAGCCCAGTTCAGACCACCATCAATAATCATCTGGAGTTTAAGTGGTCTCCCTGCTAATTCAGCCTCCATACTGCTGACAGTGAGCCATTCATCCCTACATTCTCTGTCAGTCATTCAATAATGGTTCCCAAAAGTCTACTATAGCAAGAACCTCTGAGCCTGGCCCTGGGGATACAGTGGTGACAATACAGAAATGGTCTCTGCCCTCAAGGAGCGGACAGTGCATCTGTGTCTGGGGAGGGAGGGAATGGCAGGGGAGGGGTGGGGGCACACAACATAACCAGTCTAATGTAATCCCATTTTTAAGATCTAAAATCCCCCAACCACTCCCCTGTGCTTTCTAGATAAAATGCAAAAATCTAAAGGTCAAGGGCTTACTGACCTTGCCCCAGCCATCCTTTCCACACTCCCTGCTCAGCCCTGCCCACCACTCACACCAAATTTGCTGCTTCCCTGAACACTTCATCCCTCAACACTTGCCCAGGCAGCACTCACTGGCGTCTGCCTTGTGATTGGTACCAGAGATGTGGAAACGGACAGTCACAGCCTCTGCCCAAGAACCATGAATCTAGTGTAGACTGAAATATAGAGAAATTATTGCAAAATGGACAACTGCAGAGGTCAGGACAAGTTGCAACAGGAACAGAGGCAGGGGAGCAGTGACAAATCCTACCAGGGGGCTAGTGAAGGGAAACTGGATGACCTGGGAGGAGTCGTCACACGGAGAGAGGGCCTGGAGGGCAAGGCAAGAGCAACAAAAAAAAGCCTGGTGTGTTTGAGGAACTCCAAGGAGAGCGATGGAAGATCTCACACCCTGGATTCTCCGACAACCAACTCTTTTGTATATTATACACTGACCTCCCTGAAGTGCCTTTCATATGCCAAACAAACCTGGCTATTTCTAGCTACTGTTTACTGAACACTTACTGGGGGCCCTGCAAGCCTTCTGTACACATCTCATTTGAGCCAGCTATAGTCCTAATAATGTCGACAGATCCCTAATATCACTTTTACTTTGCAGTTGAGAAACTAAGGCATGACTGGGTTGCCCCAAGTCACACTGTTAGTAAACCAAGACGTGACCCCAGGTCTGATTCTGAAGTCATGTTCCTAATGCTGAAATACAGACTGATGAATGTGAATCTTTTTCCCCAGCCAGTTTATGGAATGGGGCCAGATCTGCTCAGTCCTCAGCCACAGCCACAGCCCCAAGCCCAACCCTGACCGTCCCCACCCCTGCCAGGGCTCACCAGGGGTGAAGTGGTGCCACCTGGAGGGAGACAATCTCTCTGCAGCCTGCGCCCAAGGCCCAAATGACCTCATGGCCCACGGGGTCTGTTGCGCTCCTGTTGAAAAGACGAAGCTGGGGCCGCCCACTCTGGTGGCCTCTGCTCCCTTCCCTTGGGCCACAGAGCTCTTGGGTCCCTTTGCCTGAGAGCCCTGGGGAAAGCATATACAGAGAGGAGGGATCCCTTGGGTCCTAGGCCAGGAGGGGATAGGCGGTGCGTTTGGTGGTGCAGACCCACCTGTAGGTGACAGCCTGCAGGGCGCGGCAGTAGCAGCTGGCCAGCCAGAGTGAACGGTCAGTGAGAATGTTGGGACAGTGGGAGATGCGCAGGATCAGCAGGTTCCCCCCTGCCGCCTTCAACAGGGACTCCAGCCCTGCTTCCAGGCAGCCCCTGGGGATGGCCAAGAAGTCATGGTGCTGCTTATGGCCACCTCCTCCTCAGGAAGTATCCCCATGTAATTCTGGGTCTGCAGCCCAGGAGCAGCCACCCAGCCACCCACCACGGCCTCACCGGGTACTCCGGGCATATTCCTCCTTGCTCTCCTTTTTGCCCCGCTGCCGGGGCTTCAGGTTCTGCAATGTTAGTGAGTGGGCCTGGGTGCACCACTGGGCCAGCATTGCCAGGAACTGCAGGGAGAGATGGGTTACCTGGGGATGAGGGGGTCTGAGCCTGGTTGACTGGAGGTGGCCCAGCCCCAGGATGGGGGCCCCATGAGAGCATTTCGGGGAGCCAGACTGGAACTGGGGTGTTTAAGGGGCTGCAAAGACCAGACCTTGAGGAGCCCCAGACTCTGCTGGGGGAAAGGTGCACTCAGAGGGAATGGGTGGGAGGGAAGGGGTGGTGGGTGGGGGAAGCACCTTAGAACAGATGCGGGCATTCTCAAGTAGCACCCGTGTCCAGACAGCGGGGTGGCGGGCCACGAAGCGCCAGTCCCGGCAGACCTCAGCAGCATGCAGCAATGTGCGTGTGTCCAGGTAGGTGAAGATGCAGAACAGGGCAGCTCGCATCTTGAGGATCTCCGGGCTGATGACTTCGTTGGAACGAGAGGGGCTGCCCCGCTCAGCTCGCCGACCTCCGCGCCCGCTGCCTCCCTCAGGGCGGGCTGCACAGTACCAGAGGGTCAAAGGTGAGTGTGGAGGGTCAAAGGCCAGCATGGGCACATGGGTGGGAAACTGGAGTAGGTTAGGAGCTACAGGAAGAATGGGCATGAGACCTATGCTGGGGACCAGAGACTTGGGAGGAAGAACAGGGCCTCTGCCTCCCCTCCTCCGCATCACCCCAGTCCCTAACTTTGCGAATTAGAAAAAGGCAGTCCTTCCTCAAGCAAACTTTCTAAGATTGTGTATCATCACACAGTCCAAACTCACCCCCTGGATGAGGCAACTGAGCCAAGTTTGGAGAAGGAAAGAGTATGGAGGGCTGGGGGACGGGTGGACAGAAACCATCTCTGTGAATGGAAAGCAGGTGTGAGCCTGCCCAGAGTAGTCACTGGGCCACTGCCACACCCAGAGGATCCCTCTAACCTCCTGATCCTGACTCACCCACATATGCACATGGCCTCACATATGTGGGAGGGACTCTCCCCACTGCTCTGGGGGCTTCAGTCTGGGGCTAACACTCCACCACTCTCCTGTACGTGTCAGTGAGCCCACGATGTGAACAGACCCCCTGAGACATGCCATCCTTGTGCTATACCCAAACTGAGTGCCCTGCACTGCAAGCTCCTGCTCCAGGCTTGCAGGGTGCTATGCAGGAAGAAGTTTGTCTTTGTCATTGTGTGAGGTCTGCAGCAAGGGGGAAGGAAGTGCAGGAGCCCAGGAGATTAACAGCTTCAGACCTGTGTCCCTTGAGAGGGCCCAGCACCATGGAAAGACCAGCCTCTCCGCACACCCCCCAGGCCTCACCTGAGAGCCGGCAGCTGCTCGGTGGCCCAGCCACAGCAGGTCCGGGGCGGGGCACATCTGAGGGACCCTCAGCCTCTGACTCGGTGGTTCGGGAGCCCACGTCCGAGACGTCACCCTCCTCCCCCTCTGTGCTGTGTCGGCGGGGTCTGCGCTGCCAGTTCTGGATGGCCTGGCGTCGCAGGCCTGAGCTGCGAGGGGGCTGGGCCCGCTCTGAGCCACCATTGGCAGCCCTTTGGCTTGCGCCCAAGCCCCCAGGGCCACTGTCCTCAGGAGCCCCCTCTTCTGGCCGGGGCAGCTCCAGACTGTCACTGTCATAGCAGCCTGAGCTCTGGGATGCAGCTGGAATGCGGCTGGAGGCCCTGGGGTGGGGTGGACCAGATGGTGAGGAGCGAGGGGCACCAGGCCTGCCCACATTCCCATACCCACCTCCTCTGTCCAAGGGCAGGCCCCCGCCACCCTCCCTTTCAAGAGCCCCTCTGAGTGTGGAAAGGCAGATGGAAGTGACTCAAGGAGGACAGGGAGAGGAGGACATATGACCCCAGGCAGGCCAGCCATCCAGTGGGCTGGCGGAGCTTTCCGGGCTGAGAGTGGGCTGTGTGGGGCGGGCCAGGCCCGAGGCTTACCCTGTGCTGGGAGAGGAGCCATGCCGTGACACTGCGTATGTGCTAGGCATGGCCGGGCCTGCGTGGTATTCTCGCTGTGGGCCCCCAGTGCAGGAGGGAGAGGGAGGGGGCAGTGGGGAGCAGAGGAGGCAAGAGGATGAGAAGGAGGAGGAGAAACAGGGCAGAGAGAGAGAGAAGAGGGAGAGGAGAGAGAAGGAAACAGGTTGGGAAAGATGGACAAATAGACAGACAGACAGCCCAGAGAGGCAGGCTCACCAACCTCCTCCCCCCACCCCATCCCCCCAGCAACCCAGGCCAAAGCTTGTGGCTCCTGGGCTCTTATTTGCAGGGACGGGTAGAGATGGGCCCCTGAAGGCTGGACTGCTGTCTCACACCTCACTACAGCCTCAGGAACTGGCACTCCTGCCATATAAAAGGGGCTCCCCCATTCTTATACCCCTACTTCAGGCCTGAGTCTGCTCACAGGGAAGAGCCAAAGATGGGAAGCATGGAGCAAGGGGGATGTCAGGCCTGTGCAAGGAGAGGTCACGGGGCCGGCCACACAGGTCCAGGAGCAAGGGCAGCTGGGCACTCACCGACCTGCCTGGGCCCCGGGCGCCGGGCCCACCTCCGTGGCCCAGGCTGGCACTAGGCGTGCTGCCACAGCTGCTGCTGATGACCTGCAGCTGGCGCTCCGCACGGTCGGCCCGCTCAAGGAGCTCCTCGATGAACTGCTGCAGCCGCAGCTTGGCGCTGGCCTCCCGAGCTGCCGTCTCCTTCAGGAACTGGTCGATCTGCACCACCTCCCTGGGCCCAGAGCAGTCCCTTACCCCAGTGCCAGGGCCTGGCTGCCCACACAGCCCCGGGAGGAGACCCGAGCAGTAGGGAGAGACATGAGCACAGCTGCCCGCTGTATCTGCTCACAGTCATGTGGGTATGTGCAGCACAGGTCCAGGCACTCTCTGCTCATGGCACACACAGAAAAGCAAGCACACTCTCTGGGTCACACACTCCACACACCACCGACCCAGCCCCATACATACAACTAAACGCCCCCACTACCAAGGGAAATGCTCATAGGTATGCTCAGTTACACACAGCCACCTCCTCCCTCCAGAAACAATCACGGGCACACCCTTAGGGTTGCACAGCCATGTATGCATAGCCTATATCACTCATATACATGCACATTTACCCATGTACACATACAATTGACCCTCAAACAATGCAGGGGTTAGGGAGGCTGACCCCTGAACAGTTAACAATTGTGTATAGCTTTTGAGCTCCCCCAAACTTAACTAGTAACAGCCTCCTGTTGACCAGAAGTCTTATCGATAACATAAGCAGTTGATTAACACATATTTTGTATATTATATGTATTACATGCTATATAGTCTTACTACAAAGTCTGCTAGAGAAAATAAAATGTTTTTTCAAATTGTCACAAGTCTCCAAAAATTTTCCTAACACCTTTATTTAAAAGATCTCCATGTAGAAAGACAAGTGCCAAATGATTTCCCTCATTTGTGGAGTATAACAATGAAGCAAAACTGAAGGAACAAAATAGCAGCAGACTCACAGACTCCAAGAAGGGACTAGTGGTTACCAAAGGGGAGGGGTGTGGGAAGGCGGGTGGGGA